CCCCCCCCCCCTAGCTATGTCTAAGGTTAATGAATTACCATTGCTTATTTTACAAATTTATCAATACGAATTAATGGTTAACAAGACCACCCGATACTTTAGCACTAAAATTTAAATGTATTTCAAATATTCTGTAAAAACGTAAAACAATAGTACAACGGAGCTTTTCTACCTACCAAGTGCAAAACATGCTAAATGCGTAGGCAAATATCGGCTCTAACTGTAATTTAATAAAACTATTATTCTTCAATAAAACTATACACGTCACACCAACTCAGCTATGTACAATTTGACTTGTTTTCTTATTAAATTGGTATATTTAAACATACATTTTATGTTCGAGTTTCTATTTTGTTATTGTCAAACTCAATAAAGTAAATAAAATATACTTTATTACATATTATTTTAATTTATTTTATTATATTTAGGTACAGTTTTCATAATATACATATTACACAGTATATCTATGATGACGTAAATTTTACAAATCTTCAACAAATTGTTTTTGATACATCATTCGATGATTAGCATTCGTTGAAGATAGACGTTTATTATTTCGCACATCTTTACCGAAAACTTTCTTGTCAAACACAAACATAATCGACTTTGTACAAATATGGGGATGATGAACAACTCGGGCAAGACCAACGTGACGGCCGCTGAAAAGGTTGAATCGATCGGAAATGGATTCAGTACGAAATATTTTGATGCGTTGATGGGCAAGCCAAATCCGATGGCTTTACAACAGATGTTCAACGAACAGTCTGTATACATATTCACACAACATGGACATCCTGACCATGAAATATACGGGATGTATTTGATTGAAAGTTTCATAAAGTGGATGGAGTATAGTAAATGTACAGTTACCGTTCGTTCATTGGACATCGTTAGACCGCACCCAACGGTGTTTACGGTTATATCGGCCTGCGAACTATAGCGTCCAGAATACGGCATGACAATCAAGTTCACTCAGACATTTATCATTAAATGCGTCCCGTGAACTATAACAGAGTACCGCATTATTGAAACGCATTATAAATTTGAGGACGATTATCTTCCAAAAGATGTATCGGTGAACATGATTTGTAAAAAGATATCGTTAAAAAAAGCAGAAATTTCCGATTATTTACGTTTGTTTTAAATTCAATCAATCATTAGTGAACTTGGACTGCGATTGTTTATTATCCCTCCCGTAAAGCATAGTAACCGCACACGAAACAGATTGTGTACAGTGGTTATTACAAGCCATTTGTTTTTTATTTTATTTTATGTGATAATGTATGCGTTTAATAAAACGAAAGTGAAAGATAAAAAAGTTCGCCAATAGGTATTTAATTTACTTATTTTCGTTTGCCTCACGGCCGTCGATAACATTTTCCGGTTGATTTACATTGACTGCAGTTCGCAGAGGAACGAAAGAGATTTTGAAAAAAAAAGAAATCAGAACCGCACCGATTGTAGACTTATGCTCGTGTGCATAGTCCTGTTGTTATGTGTCACATATAATTGCTTAAGTGACCATTATATAAGTGATCCATATTATTTATATGTAACCCGTAACTATTTTTATGTACCACATAAGTTGGTTTTGCATAAACGATATTTATGTATTCAATAATTATGTAAAGTGTATGTGATAATAACCATTGTTATCAGTGTAACTATATTCATATTACCGAAAATGCATAGGATAACGAATAATATTAATATTTTTAAATTTGTATATTTAATTTTGATTTCTAATTTAATAAAAATATTTTATATAATGACAAGAAATTCAGAAAAATAAACGCGTTCGTGCTCCTAATATTTTTGAAGAGGAAAAATGTTAACAATAGTTTTTACAAATTAAAATTAGATAGGTTAAAAGTTTGCTATTGTATAAAATCGTAATATTATCAATAACATGAATGGGAGTTATAGGCAATCCTCGATGATTGACTTGAATACCTAATAAATCTACTAACTGATCCATGACAATCAGTTTTGAAAAACGATAACGTTTCAAAAATGTATAGTCATTGTATTTTTCAAACGGGTCTTCTATACGAATATACTTTCTTGGCATTTGTTCAACATCAAATTCATCGAAATATTCATCAACCATTTCTACATAATTAACAAAGTTATAAAAATCATCCATACTACTATATTTTAGTAATACAATTCTTTAAAATTTATAATTTGAACACGAAAAAAATATTAATATAAAAGTATAAAAATATTGATTAAAATATAATGTAACACAATATATTAAAACTATTTAATATATTATACTATTAATCAAGAATCGAGTTATTTCTTGTTTTATTCTAATTACAATTAATTTATTATTTAAGTATTTTTTATTTATTTGAAATTTTGGTTGCTTTGAACTCAAATTAATGTCATCCAAATCATCAGACTGTATATTAAAATTTAAAACATCCTTATTCAGTTAAATTTTTTCATCATGGTCGTTATGTTCATGGATAGATATTTTATTTGCTTTTGAATCATCAAATGATGCTTGACAGACATGTCAAAATTATTTATTCGCGTTTATGTTCTTTGTTTCATTTTGTTTTTAATATTCAAAATTGAAGGACATATTTAAAATTAGTTTAACTACTTGTCATGTTTTTGTTGATTTAAGTAATTTCACAAAAAGGATACTGTATCACTACAGGTAGGTACGTATAAGTACTGACAATACTGTACATAATATGTATTCATGTTATAAAATATAATAAAACAAATGAAAGAAAGTATTTAGATGATGAAATTTATCCTTTATTATTAAAGTACTTGATTGATAATTGATTAATAATAAAACCATGAAAACCAGATATTTATCTATATATATACCTAGTCTTCATGATTAAAACAATAAAACAATGAGATAATTGATAATAAATTATATCCATATTAGAAATTCGTAAAAAATTTGAATTGGACCGATAAGGACACGACATTAAAAAGACGCGCAGTGGCGTTCTGGGTAACTTAATACACAGCAGGGTCGAGGAAAGAATAAAAAAAGAAAAGAAAACCTCTTCAAATGAAGATATTGGCAACACAAAGCCTAACAACTTGCTTGGATATATTAACGTGAAGCATCAGAATTTTCAAAAAAATTTGAATGAGAAATATTTCATCCATGTTATGAATAACAAATAAATCGCTATATTGATCCTTCTATTCTCGCACACGCTAAAGAAAAATAGTTAGAAATATTTAAAAATAAATAAATCGAAACGATATTCAAGTAAGGGTAAATAGAAACTATTAAACCTACAACAGACCTTAGTATTAAGTTGGTTAATGTCTTTTTATAATTAAAATAAATTGTTGTACCTAAATAAAAACTTCTACATTTAAATAATATTCCGCGGCACACGGATTAACAAACCGTAATGGAAACAATGATGAGACAGCTAATCTATGTACAATGTTATTTGTCATATTCTATTTCGGTTTGTTAAATCATTACATTCGTACAAATTACATTTTTTATGATTACTGCCAAGAGTATATGAGTATTAATATTAATAACAAATAGATTAAAAAACTAAGCCGTTTTAAACGTACTTCTTTTATGGCGATTGACAAGTATTTATAAATATTATTAATTGTTATAAGACACAATTTTTAATATTTAATTCATATTTCAAATAACAATACATTGTTATATCCTAATATGAGCTATAGTCTAATAGTTTTAGGAAATATCGTTTTAAACTTAAATGAGAGGGTATATAAACTATTATAACCTAACAGATCATAGTATTCCATCGGTTAACGTGTTAAAATAAATTTTTGTAAATAAAAAACATTTAAATTTAAATAATATTTTTTGGCGCCCTACTATGATGGGAGCAATGATGAGACAGATATATGATGAAAGGAGAACATAAAATAGTTTAATGGAATTTTTTACCTTGGAAGTTATAAAAAATATATATATTTATTTTCTTATTTTGAATGGAAGATAAAGTTTAATATTTACATAAATTACCTCAAGTTGCCATTATGTTGAAGATTTGACATTGTAGTGGTTTAAGTAAATAAAAAATGTAATAATCGGGTGTAGAAGGAATAAGATGCAAGTTCTGCCATACCATGTGTGACGTTTCGGCATTGTTCCTCTTCTTTTGGCCAAAAGGTACACTTAGTCACTGACCTATAGAAGGGCCGCTATGAAACATTGTTGGACAACAAGATTGATTGACAAGGAAACAAATTAAAACGGTGTTTGAAACATCACAGCAACATAAACATACTATCAGTGTTCACGAAAAGACAACAATTTACAGAAGAGCCCTCGTGATTATGGATGTTGCGATACTACTGATATTAAAAAAGTATCGATACATTTCTTTCGATACAAGTACTTTTTGTATCTATCAATACTTTACTTGTATCGATAAAAAAATACTGGTATCGAATTTATAGCATTAAATCATTTATTAACCGCCATAATGGTTCAAAAATCAAAAGTACTCGAATGGTCGAATGGTATCAAAGAATAATTCTTTTCTAGAAAAATTATTTGCGCGCATGGTAGAGAATTTGTTTATTAAATTCGGTCATCATACTAAAGTCTATACTTTATACGACTGTATTTGTTATTTCCATGAACCAGAAACTACAGTCCACAATACAATAGTGTCAATAGGTTTATAATAAACCTCTTTATCATAAATTATGTACACCGAGTTCATTTTTAGCCATGGAAATAGTAAAAAGTATTGCACAAAATATACAATATGTTTAGATTTACTGATTTATATACTGATTAGATGAAATATAAATTACAAATACTGATATAGGTACCTGGCGGAAACAATTAAAAATTTGTTTACATACAGCATTTTTATCTGTGGTTCATGAACCATAACTAGTTTTAGTTAAATATTAGTAAAATGGCATATTTTAAGATATACTAACATTTTGAATTCATTCTTAACTTGGAGAAAGAAAACTTTAAAATATAATAATAATTTTTCATTTGATACTTATTCATATAGGTCGTTTTCATATTTTATTGTTATCAATATTTTAATTATATTTGTTACGATGATAGGACTAAGTAAAAGGATCAATATTTTTTTTTCGATACTCATACCGGTCGTTATGTTTCGTTATTTTCATTCCATTCGTTACCAAGTGAAAGTATCGATACTTTTCTTTTGATATCATGTCTCTACCTGTAAAACCATAGATAATAGTTAGATACTTCTTTGACTGTAGAAAATAATTTTTTTATACATTACATGCTTTTATTAAAGTTAGATTTAGGCGGTGCGATGCACAATGAGTGTATATTGCCTTTGGTTGCAAATTTAAGATTCTAGCTTGAACTCCGCGGTATTTACCAGACATATTTTTTTTCCACCATCATATCCCTGCCCTCGTAAAAATTCCAAACTTAAACCAATTTCTTTTAATTTTTGGACGATTGTATTTGCTAAATTTTCACCAGTACAATCATAAACCGGAACAAAGCAAATACAATTTTCTTTTATCAAGCATGATTTTAAATCAACATATCTAATCTATAAACTCATTTGCTCAATGTGTGATAAATCAGAAGTTTCATCACATAAAATTGAAAAAAATTTACATTCATTCACCTCTTTTATTAATTTGTCTGTGATAATCAAACCACATATATCGATCAAATTATTTTGAATAGTTTTACTAACAAATGTTGCATTTTTTTGGAGCCGATTCTAAGTGATTGCAAAGATCTACATCGCCCGCGTCTATTCTGAACATCAACAATTCTTTGAATATTCCAATATTAAAATTATTTTTTGCTCGGTCATTTGAAATCAGATTTGATAAATTAACATCGTCTCTATGCCTCCTTATAGATATATTATGACGACCACAGAAAATAATTGTTTTAATTATAGGAATTAACTTCTTTTTATTTTGTTTGACAGTTTCATTTAGTTGGTCATCAAGTTGAATTTCTATTGTTTTTTATTTGCCTTCAAAACATTTTATAAATTCTAAAGATCGCACAATTGCTGTTTTATGATATTCTCTTTCCATATGTATCTTAAAATCGTGTAAAGCATCTTTGTATTTTATCATAGGAATTTCTTTTAAGACCCCAAGCCTTTGTCCTCCAATCCCACCAAACTTTGGTCCAAAAAGTACACATACTTTACAAAACGCTCCTTCTCTATTACGGCTATAAGCTAACCAGTTGTGCTTATTTAGCCATTCAATTTGAAAGCTTCTTTTATGACTTTTTTATTCATACTTACAGGGAAAATATAATTTTGTTTAGGTGACCACGTTTCTTTTAAATATTTGTAAAGCATATTTGGATCGTTTCGAATTTTTAGATTTGCATTTTCTTTAATAGCAAATGCGATATTATATTGACTGTTAGAATCGACTTCACACGAATCAGAAAATGTAGCTGGCTCTGACTCTGTTGGTAACACGCTTACATTTTCTATACCTTCACTTGGAGATGGATTATTTTCGTCACTTGTTTTTAACTTTTTAAAAAAAAAGTTTATTTCACTTTGTTGTTTTTGTGACATTTTAAAACAGAATAATTGAACACGAAATTACAAACGAAAACACTACGGACAACAGCAATACAGGCGAGTACAGCACGAAATACGAATTACACATGAGTGACACGACGACTGTAAAATTACTAACATTTTAAAACGATAATAGCAATATAGAAATGGATTAGTGAGAATCGTCTTACAAATAAAATAAGATAAGATAGCGATGGCCAGTAGGAACGATATATGGCAAAAATAGCCGGTCTGCCGTCTGCGTTAAGGCGAAATTCCTTTATACCCGCATAATAAAAGTAATAGTAATATGTTTGGGAGAATTTCTTATATAATGATAATATAATAATAATATAAAATATATGTAATGATAATATTTCTTAAATTATAATATAATGTGTTTGAGCGAAACAATATAAAAGATAAAATTATAAGAATTAATAATAAAAAATAATAAAACCTAACTTATGCCAATGGGGGGGGGGCGAGGCCCTTCGGCCCCCCCTTAAATCCGCCACTGAATACTCACAAATGAAATGATACGTTGTCTGTATTATCTTTAGAGGATACATGACAAACAATGCAAGTACGAACCATAGCTTGAAGACAAATGATAATTCGTACAGAATCGGGAATACTTCAATTTGTAAAAATGTTAAATAATTTTAAAATAAAATGCGTTAACAATAAAAATATTTGTTATCATCATAGATATCTTCTATTATCATTATGAAAAAAAACTAATGATAAAACCCCTTGCTAAAGTGAGTGCACTATATAAAAGCAGCCTATCTCTCATCCACATTCCGGACCGCGACCCCTTGTATTGTTAATATATGATTGGCCTATCCATTCTTCTATTATCTATGCAGCCAACTGAGTATTGCTGTGAAGAGATGCTCGTGCTTTAACCGGTTTAGAACCGATTATAGGTATGCCTCTGGTACATAGATAGTACAATTTTGTTATCTATGGCTATGTACCATGGTTCTATAAAAATAGTAATCTTTAACCGTGCTGAGAACCATGAACGTTTTGAATGTTGTGATAGCAGAGTATATTGACCAGAATACATGATGTCAAGAAGCAAATAACCGATGTAATATTTTGTTGTGTGTGTTGATGCCGACTTTTATAGTAGTGTTCAAAAAAATTATAATCGAGTTATACGATTTATATTATGGCGCCGACTATTCATAATAATGCATCTCAAGAAAAAAGACCACCGCGGCCGATTGAAAAAAGGTTAAGTTTGTTCGCTATTTTCTTTATTCTTTCTTTTACTGATAATAGTAATTTTTTGACTAATATTTTTATTTACAGGTCGGATTTGGTATGTAAAGTGAAATATTGCAATATGCTTCCAGACATACCCTTCGATTTGAAATTTCTCTCATATCCGTTTAACACATCAAGGTCAGTCATTTATTTACATTAACTAATTTTCTTATTGTTAATATATGAAGTTTATCTTCCTAGATTCATACAGTATAACCCAACGTCTTTAGAAAGATCATATAAGTTTGAAATCTTAGCGGATCACGATTTAGGAGTTGGTATTGACTTGGTTAATAAGGATATGTATTCAATTGACTATAATGTACAAATGGAACCAGCTGATGAAAAAATTTTAGAAGAAGACATTTTAGCACCACAAGACTCTAAGAGGTATAATATATCTACCAAAAGTGGAAGGAATAATCATTTAGCATTTAATAATTTAAAAAAATACAGTGAAACCTATTAAAGCAAATCCTTAATAATATTTTAATTGACCAGATGGTGGTTTTTCAAGCTTTGTAAATTATTAATTTATGAACTTTTTATTAAAAGTGGTTACTAACAATATTTTGGTATTATAATATGAACAATTCTGATCAACATATTAAGTTAAATCAGTGTTTCTGATCATTTTGGTAGTACTTTTATAATTAGTATTTGTAGTATATTAAATTACTGAAGTAAAACAAAAACCATTTTATTAAATTTATTTTCAATTATATTTTAATATAATAATAATATTTTAATATTATTATAATTATATTTTATAATTTATTTTTGTCTTAAATTTTAAAATGTTAATTTTTTATTCTTTATTTGTGGTTGATAAAAAAAAATTCAAAATTTTCAATTTAAGTTATAGTTAATAATAAATAAATTATTATTAGATTATAATATTGTACACATTTTCATAATTAAATTCATATTTTTAATGGAGTTAAAAATATTTTGGGTTTTAATTATAAACTGGTAGTAGATGTTAAAAAAGACTAACTGACAACTTTATTATCTAGATCTAGACATCATGCCAGAAGTGTGTCATGGTTAAGGCGTACTGAATATATTTCTACTGAACAAACTCGGTTCCAACCTCAGACAATTGAAAAAGTAGAAGCTAAAGTTGGATTTAGTATCAAAAAAAATTTTAAGGTATTTATAAAATAAAAAACTACCAAGTCTTATTCAGCTATACATTTTTTATTTTCAGGAAGAAACTCTTTATATGGATAGAGACAGTCAGATGAAAGCAATTGAAAAAACATTTGAAGACAATAAAAAACCTATTGAAAAACATTACAGCAAACCAAATGTTCATGCTGTTGAGACATTAAATGTTTTTCCAGATTTTAAGGTAGTATAAAATATCTTAAACGTAAAAAAAATAAGTGTCTTTATTATTTATATTATTTGAATAGAATTGGAGATATCCATGTGCTCAAGTTATTTTTGACTCTGATCCGGCTCCAATGGGTCGACCAGTACCAGCACAAATAGAAGAAATGTCTCAAGCTATGATTAGGTAATTCATACTTATTAATATTATAATCTGATAAGACAAAATTGCTAGAAGGACAGTTATATTAATTTTTGAATTATGAATTCAAAAGTTGTTGATAAATCTCAACACATATACATAAGTGACCAAGCTAAAATTACTAGTTTCTATTAAAATATCAAATTTTTTCAAATAGCAATCTAATATTATTAACTAATGACATTACCTCAAAGTCAAATTTTCACAAAAATTAAATTAAATATTATTGCCACAAAATAAAGACATTTTTAAATTACATTCTTAAAGTAAAATAATTATTTTATTAATTTTATTAATAAATAGTCCATATTTTTGAGGATTAAAAGTAATATAATTTAAAGTCTAGTTATAAAATATTAATTTATCACAAAAAAAAAACCACAAAATGTTAATTAATGTATCTATTTAGAATATTTTTGGAAGGAAAGTTACTTACCCTGATTTTCATTATAATTACAATTAAATTTCAATTATTTCTATTATTAAAAACTATTAATATTAACAATTTTAATACTACTATTTTATCTATAAGTATAACATTATTTATTAATATTTAAAATGTTATCAAAAAAGTTTAGATTATTATTTTCTATATTTTATTTAAATACCATAGATCCAATTTTTAATATATTTTAATGTAAATTACAGTTTAAAGATGTTTTTACTCTAAGCACATCAATCAAATAAAATTATAGTTATTCTAGATAATTAGTCTTCATATGATTGGTAAAGTAAAAAAAAAAAAATAATAATAATAATAACAAATACAATTGAAATACTAATTCCTTGTTTAATTGAAGTCTATAATTTTATTATCATTGTAGCTTATATGTCAAGTTTTATCAATTTTTTTTCTTTTTTTTTTATAAGTCATTTGTGTTAAATTTAATTAAAATATAAAATGTTTGAATGCATTTTTGATATACATTTCAGGGGTGTAATGGATGAGAGTGGCGAACAGTTTGTGGCTTACTTTTTACCATCTGAAGAAACAATTGTTAAACGACGTGAAGATGCTGTTGATAACCGTCCATATGATGATGACTATGAATATGAGTATAAAATGGCAAGAGAATACAATTGGAATGTTAAAAGTAAAAGTAGTAAGGGTTATGAAGAAAATTATTTCCTAATTGTACGACCTGATGGAGTATTTTACAATGAATTAGAAACAAGGTACATTTAAACCAACTTATTTAGTGTATTGGATATCATTATAATTTAATAAAAAAAAATTAGGGTACGCTTAAGTAAAAGACGACAAAAAATTGGTGTTCAAAGCAGTAGTACTAATACAAGATTAATTGTAAGACATGTCCCAATAAATGAACAAGAATTCAGTGTTCACAAATTTAGAGAAAAACAATTACAACCATATGATGAAGAAGAAGAGGCTAAAGCTGAAGAAGCTGCTAAAAAAGCAATGAATGGTAGTTATTAATTATTCTATAAAAGATTTAATTTAATGCATAAGAAATTAATGTTTTTTGAAGTTTATGAATATATATATATATATATACTAGATCATTATTTAATTACATAAATATATTCATGAAATATTTTTTTTTAATTATAATATATTTTATATATACATTTTTTCAATAAAATATAAATTATATTTTTCATTATTTTAAAATAATTGCTGTTTAATGTTTATAAAAATTACACATATAATATATAAACAACTAATTACAACAATTTTTATATTTAAAATTATTTTTAAGAAAGTTCTTTAATTGAAAATATTTAGTTTTAAACTTTTTTCAATCATGTGTTAATTTTATAAAATATTATTTTTTCAGCTGCTAAAGAAAGTGCAAAAGAAATGGCTACTAAAAATAAAAATGACAGTGATGATGATTCCAAAAAAGGTATTTAATTTTTTTTTTATGTGAGGACTTGAATGTTGACAGGTTAATATATATATATATATAAATATAAATTGCAAATCTTATGATTTTATATACACTTAATCTATGTATTTTAGTTTTATCTCTTCTTCTTCATTGACATTTATAACTATTAGAATCTTTGCAGCCATATTACATCCTTCAAATTCTCTTGATCTTCAACAATTTTTTTCCATGCTTGCACTTCCGGAGCTTTAAGATTCTCTCCTACATCTATAGTCACCTCTTCCATGGTCTACCTCTAGATCTTATCCCTTTCGGTTTTCATTCTATAAGTATTCTGATGATTTATTCATTTCTTCTCATAATATGGTTGAGCCACTGTATTATTTGTCCTTTTATGTTACTAGTAACTGATGCTAAGCCTAGTTCTTCCTGAAATTCCTTATTGAACTTTCTTTATATATAATTAATTCTTTATTCATTTGTCTTTGTGTTATGAACTGGTTCACATATCATTCTTTCATACTTTATTTTCAAAAGTCCTATGTCATCTTACTATTACCCTTGTTATTATCCACATTTCATGTTCATAAATGAGAGTAGGTCTAATTATTACCGATTACAAACTTAATTTGGTTTTCTTAGAAAGAGCATTAGATTTGAGGAATTGGATCAGTGCAAGAGTTGTGCACAGTTTTACTTAGTTAAAATAAATATGAAGTTATCAACATATTTGTTGAAAGATCTAAAATTTGAATCTAAAGTTCTGCAGATTTAATTATTTTTTTTCTATTAACCAGTAATTTAACTTAACTAATAAGTTATTAAATTAAATTAAATGATATGTAATTTATGACAGTAGTGGTAAATTGCCTTGTTTATATTATTTAATAGTGAATTTATTTTTATAATTTTACAGAAGATTACAATAAGAATAATGTTGGTTCTGATAGCAATGCTTCTGATGATGATGATGAACAAGATTCAATGACTACTAAAAAACGAACCATTAGTGAAACAGTAGATGATAGTGATCATAGTAAAAGTAAAGTACATGCAGATTCTGATAGCAATGACGAAGAAAGTAATGACAGTGATGATAATCTTAAGACTTTGGATAATAAAGGTCAATGTAGTGGTAGTGAAGCAAATTCAGATAGTAGTACTGCATCTAGTGTTAAAAAATCTAGTAATCAAAAAGATCATCATACTCCTATTAAAGATAGCTCTGGAAGTGATGATAGTGATAAATCTGATGATGAAACAAAGAATAAGAATTTATCTCATAGTGGAGACAGTGAAGAAGAAAATATTTCTAAACGAGCAACAGTTGAAAATGGATCAGACAGTGAAACTGAAGTGAGAAGTAAAAGGAGCTCAGAACGTGCAGCTAGTGTTAATTCAGATTCTTCTTCAATCACTAGTAGTGATCAAGAAAGTGATTAAGTGTAATAATTAATTATTTTATGAGCTTAAGACTTGACTAGCATGTAAATAAAGTAAATAATTTATAACATTTTGCATCGTATACTCAAATATTTTAATTATTATTTTTTCCTTATTTTTAAATATTATTTAAAAATTATCCAAACATCAACCATATGTATAAAACATAAATTGATTGATATGTTATAATAATTTAATATCTGTAATGTATTTACATCCAATTACTACTTTTTTCTTTTTTATTAGAAATAATTATTTTACTTTTTGATAATTTTACCAGGTAATCACTCTTAAATAGGATGATTTTAGTAATATTTAAAAGACATAATATTTTTTTAATTTAAATTTTTATGTATTTTGATAACTTGTTTTTTATTACAGCGTTTTCCTTTTCCAAGTCATGGGGTGGAAAAATAAAATTAATAGAAATTTAAAAAAATGTTGAACCATAATTTTTTATGAAATTAAATTATAGATAAATGAAAATTATAAATCGTAATATTATCAGCTTATTATAGTTAACTTTACTATTATTATTCATATTGCAGTGTTACATTTAAATTATTTTAAGTTCTATTTATGTAGTCATTCAACAAAGACGAGTAAAATAGTTAATTGTTTTATTAAAACTGTTGAGATAAATAAATTAAATATTTAAAAATTTGAGCTCTATGAATTATTTATATAAATATAATAGAAAATCTAAGACAAAACTCTTTGTTAGTCATTTCTGTTTACAGAATCATAGGCGTAAACTGGGGGGGGAGGGGGCAACTGCCCCCTCAAAAAATTTAACAGGGCAATGCCCCCTTAATGTTTTACAAAAATATGTATTTGAAAACTATTATTAAAAAGACATTGTAGTATTGTAAGAATTATTTTCAAGAAAAGTGAAAAATGAAGTATTTTAAGGAGAAAAAAGATGAATTGATTACTCAAAATGTATTTATTTATTGTCATTTACCAAAATGCGATATCGCAATACATCATAACAGAATCTATTATCATAATTATCGAGTAAAAACCATAGAGTAATATTACTCTATAGTAAAAATCACTTAGTGAGACTAAATGGAGTTGCTCAATAGAAGCTATTTGTTCTGTTATAAATAATTTTAATTTTATTGTTTCAATGTTAGAAAAAATAAATGAAACAGACTCTACATGGCCCTGATGCAAATTCAATATTAAATAATATTCAAAACTTTGACTTAATATTTTATTTAAAGTTAATGAAATTAGTGTTTGAATTAACTAATTCCTTGTCACTACATTTTCAAAAAAAAAAAAGTTAACTTCTCTACTATTTCATTATTAACAGCAGCTACTCTTGAGAAACTACAATCTCTTCGCAGTGATGATAGTTACGATCAAATATGGACAGAAACAGAACAGCTAGCTTCCAAAGAATGTATTTCACCACCCATAATTCCAAGAATAAGAACAATACCTTCAAAATTAGGCAGTGGTGAAACTTCAATTTCGAGAAACGTTGCATCGTATTTCAAAATTAATATTTATTTTCCTGTTATAATGATAAATTATATAAAAACAAAATTTGCAGAAAACAATTTAACGCTCTTCAAAATTATTTAAGCACTAGAAAAAACAGTGATGAAGATATTTTAGAAGTTTGTAACACCTATAATATTAACTTCGGTGCCTTAAAGGTAGAATTAATGCTCTTCGGGAAAATGTGTTCATCAAATAATATTGCTGAAAATTTTGAAACCCATTTAAATTTGTATTTGGAAAAATACTTGATAGGCTCATTTGACAATATTTAATTTATTTATAAAATTTTTCTTTCTATTCCAATGAGTTCTGCATCAAGTGAACTTCGTTTTCATCACTTTGTCACCTCAAAACATTTACAAAAAACACCATTGGTCAAAAAAGACTTAGTAACATGGCTCTTTTACATATTGAAAAAACTTTTAAAATTAATTTTATTACCTATTATTGATCAGTTTGATGCAGATTCAACAGAAAGAGATAGAAGACTTAAATTAACATAGACATCTTGTAAGGTTATAATATTAGAGTTAAGTTTTGTTAGTATTATTAGTATAATAATTACATAAACATAACTAATTGTCTAGTATAGCATTTATTATGATATATATAATAACTATAAATTATAACATTAGATATATTATATATTACATTTATAACATTATGACTTATGGACATTGGAAATAAATTCCATTTTATGTAAAAATAAAGTATAGAAATTCAGAATGCTTCTATTAAATAAACCATCTTGTCAAGCTTTTTCCATCATGCCATTTAATTGTTTTACATGCTACAATAAAGATTTAGCTTAGATATTATTATTATCTCATGCTTTCCAGTTTCCTCTGATTAAGTATAGTGTAGTCTCAAAGTATCTTTAAGTACACGGTATATCGACATAAAATATAGTTTACCCTTATAAGAATTGCCCATGTCTCGGACACCTTTTTCGTTAGATATGTAATTATATATTTGCCCCCGCGTAATAAATTTCCAAATTACGCCCATGTACAAAATCAACTACAAAATAATATATGCAAACGTAATATTTATGAAACTTTGGTTTGGTTTACGCAAATTAGAAAGTAAACATTTTAAATCTGTTTCGAGGCAAATTGTTATCATGATCTAAAATGTTTCAAATTTAAAGTAGTTTGTTGTATTGTTGCAAATAACAGATTTTTAAATTAAATTTTAATTTTTGTAATAGATATTATTATCTATGTTGACACCGGTTACTGAGTCACTCGGATTGCTTTTACAACCAGCTGACCAATGACGGCTGACGGGGGTCCGTTCCGATAGCGGAAGGAACTCAAGGGTAAACGTACATCCAAACAGTATTATCTCTCGGGATATTTGCATAACATGTTCGTTAGATAAAGGCTTCAGAATAATAAAAATAATCATAATTATAAAATATAACATTGAACGTTGTTAAAACTGTGTAGTACGTCGTAGTTATTATTATATTAATACCAGTACAAAGAAACGGTTGACAGTTTTCGCTCTCGAGTGTCCGAGTAGAGGGATGGTAACGTGATTTGTTCGTATTATTGATATTATTTTGCGTTTTCTTTGAGCGATTATTCATTTTCGTGTTGAAAATCAACCTACACATTTTCTGAATCTATTACGAAGTCGGAATCATGGCGGATCTGATGTTTGATTATCAGTTTCGTTTGATATTGATCGGTGACAGTACGGTAGGCAAGAGTTCGCTATTGAAATATTTCAATGATGGTAAATTCGCCGAGGTATTCATATTCAATCAAATATCACTTGTTGAATAAAATAATTTTTTTCAACAGTTATTTTATTTTTTTTGTTTCACCAGGTGTCTGATCCAACAGTCGGCGTTGATTTTTTTGCTAGAACAATACAAATTCCCAATGGCCCACGAATAAAATTACAACTGTGGGATACAGCTGGTCAAGAGCGATTTCGGTGAGTCTACATTATTACCTTCTAATGTGAATACCATTATTTTACATGTTATCTAGACTTAATTTTTGTGTATTTTTTTTTTTTTTTCATTTACTTTTAGATCAATTACAAAATCATATTATCGAAATTCTGTAGGTGCTCTTTTAATATATGATGTAACTAAACGAGCCAGTTTTGAACACATACCTATTTGGATGAATGACGCCAAACGTCACATTGAACCTCATCGACCTGTATTTGTCTTAGTTGGATGTAAATTAGATTTGGTAAGTAAAAACTTGGTAGTTTTTATGATTAAAAAAAAAAAAATGTAATTTTGTTAATTATTAGAGCACTATTTAAAAAATTATATCAATATAGTTTCAATTTTATACATAAAATACCTATACAGCATATTCTGCTATAATAATATATTCTAGAAAAAAAATACTATCATATATATATCTACTATCATATATCAACTTATAACATATAATCTAAGATTTGAGCATTAATACTAAATTACGTATAAATATTTTTTTAAATTTTTTTTTATATATTTGATTTGTTTAATTTTATATGAATATTAGTCTTATTACATTTAATTGATTGAGATTCTTATATATTATTAATAATTAAATAAAATTAAAAGATTATCTACTTTCTATTTGTAATGTTTGAAATCTCATTATATGGTTAGTATTGGTCGAAAATTATATTTTTGTAATTGAATAAGTTTTAAAATAAGTATTATATAAAATTTTTCTTAAAAATAATAATCAAAGTAAATAACTTATAAGTACATATAATAGTATTTAAATTGTGATGTATCAACATGTATATTTTGATTTAATAAGTTTCAAAAACGCAAGGAATATAAGATAATATGTCATCAGTAATTTTAATCAATCTAAAAAAATCCATTTATTGTTTAGAATATTGGGTAGAATTGATTTTTTGACTTATTTTAATATGAAATCATACTATTTTAGTCTAAATGTTATAAAGTCTTCAATATTTATTGTGTACCTAATTAATAATATGTATTTCTGTTTGAGTTTATTTTTGCAATCTAAATGTGTCATAGCAAATCTTTAAGCTATTGAACTCTAGTATGACAAAAATTACAAAAGTATTAGTATCCATAATTATTAATAAATAATTTACTTATGGGACAGTGTTATTGCCTTAAGGAATCTTCTTAGGTGTATAGAAATCAAAATATGATCAAATTTGATATCTCAAAGTATTATTTGACTCGATATATATAATTATTGAAATCATTAGTTATATATTTTACTAAAAATAAATCATATTATAAAACATAAAATTAACCATGTTAATATTTCTAAAATGTTGAGATAACTATAAATTGATAAATGTTTTAACATTAAATTTTTGAAAAAAAAATCTTAAACAGGAATAAATAAAATTCAAGCCATCGAAATTAAATATTATTAAATTAAAAGCATATGTTATAATGAAATTTTATTTGAATTGGAAAAAATCTCCAGAAATTGAGGTTGAAGCTATCATAATTTGTTTGTATGTATCTATAATATATATATATATATATATATGTAGATAACTATATGGATTCTATATAGTTATGTTTATAAGTGGTTGCTAGATTACATTATCTAAATAAACTGGATCACATCTTATATTTCATATGTATTTGACTTATTGTTTCGATGTATTATTATATAATATATAATAATAATAATAAATCAATTATATAATGTTGTATAGTTGTTTTTCAATTATATGGAACAAGTTGAAATATTTTCACATCAATTCTGATTTAACTTTTAAGAATCAATTAATTTATGATCCATTTATTTTTAAACAGGTTAATAATGGTGCCAGTAAGAGGGAAGTGACTGAAGAAGAAGCCAAACAATTTGGCGCAGAACACAATATATTTACAGTTGAAACATCTGCAAAAACTGGTTCAAATGTTGAACTAGCTTTTTCCGCCATTACCCAAGAAGTAAGTATAAGAGAATTTATTAAATATTTCCTCTATAGAAAAGTCTATACTTGTTTTGTGTTTTATTAACTTGCCAATATTATTTAAATGGGATAGCATTAGATAAAACTTTAAAAATATATGGTTGATTATTTTAGATTTATCAGAGGATAATAAGTGGTGAATATCAAATGGAAGAAGGCTGGGATGGCATTAAAAGTGGCTATTCACATCATTCAGCTAATATAGACTTTAATAATTATATTGAAGCTGAACCGGCCAAATTGTGCTGTTAAATAACTCAAAACAGTTTAACAAAAGCTTAGTATTCTTTTTTTTTTCTTCTATCAATAGCAGAATAACAGTTTTATAAAACAAAAGTTAAGCTTTGACAATATTTTATGTTTATTTGACAAATATTAACTTAAGAGAAATATGTATAATACACTTAGGAGAATGGTACAAGACTAGTATTCCATGGATTATTATAGACTATAGATTTTCATAGTTTTATATGTGTACATTCTTTTTTTTTGTGTTGCACATAATTATATTTTTTTAATGTGAGTATTTTATGATTAAGCTTTGTATAAATTATGTGTTCTACTCAGGAATAAATTACTATAATTTATTAGTTAATTTCTAACAATGGTTTTTTTTATTTTTTGTTCCCAAATGACAGCATACACTTTCTTATTGCTTGCTGACATAGGTGATAATCTCTGAAAGGAGGTACCATGTGCCTATGTAATAATGATAATAGTACCATGAATTTGGGTAATGCATTTTCATAATCATGTTTGTCCATTAATTGTTTTGCAACAGCATATTTATTTTCTGTATCCTTAAAAACACCATTAAAATTATTATTATTTTTATTTATGTTTATTTAAGGTTAGATTTTTAGAATTGAATAGTTAGAATTGAAAAGTACCTGTAAAACTTTCAAAGCCGCTAACAAGTTAGTATTTTTTGAGCAAATCTTACAATATGCTACAAATTGCATAGAATCAATTTTCACCTTAATTGCATTTAGACAATTTGTACATCTGATTCTGAGTGATGTATCCATCTTCATTTCTTCCCAAGTCGGCCAATTTTGACAACAAGCAATACAGTTGCATTCAAACCAATATCTATGACAACATAATTAATTTATACATTTAATTTAAAATGGATTTTGAGGACATGTTAAAATTGAACATATACAAAATAAAAATCACAGATATCTATAAGAAACATGTTAACATTAACTTAATGATTGTGAGTACCTTTCTTAATTAATTTTTGAAATAAGTAACCTCACTTTTGAGTTTTTACAGCTTTGCTGTAATGATTAATTTATCTGTAGAAATATAATTATAGACATCAGGACATCAAACTTTTTAGTATTTTTATAAACTGAGTTAATTATTATTATTTACTATGAGCCAAACCTGATTTTGAGTTTCTGTTGTCGGTCTTCTCTTGGATGGAACATAAACATCGGACCATAGTTTTCTGTAATCGCTTCTCCAGCACGTAAATCACGAATGTTGTGTACTATGACCGTTGTTCCTTGATGATATCTACGTTTCATAAAAACGAATCATCTCTGTATACTAATCTATATTCATATAATTTTAATATATATTACCATACCTAACTACACAAGGATCACAAGAGTGATTCAGCAATGCTAGTGTTGGATAGATGGAGCCGCCGATGAAAACGGTCTGTTGCTCGTTGTTCTGTTGTTGAAGTTCGGAAACTTCGAACGTGTTGAATTGGAGGATCAACAAATTATGTAACAACAGACTTCCGATGAATAGCTCATCGTCGGTAAGGAAACGGGTTTTATCGTTACAGTTTGTGAAGTAATTCATTTTTTTTAAGCAATGCAAATAAAAAACAGCCACGTGTGCTCTGTGTAATATATCCTGTGCGGACCTCATTTTTCGATGGGTTACCAAGTTATATAAATTAACGTAGCTGTTCGGTTCGTGTTTTTTAACCGGCCTTTGAGTCTGAAAAATAATGCATTAAGTGAACTATCTATTTGAAACATCAAATTACAAACTATGTAATCGTATAGGTATTTATAATAGATGATTAAGTATTTAATAATAGTATCATCGTGACCTATATAGACGCCCTAAAATACGTGCGAAATAACAGCTTGCAAGACTACAATTCTAATAAAGTCATTACACGATGGAAAGTATTTCTATTTTATTAAATCTTTACTTTCAGTCAAAAAATTAACGTTGCACGATTTAAAACCTTTTATAATATCTACAGATAAAAAAGCTCATGGATCATCGCTTACGAGGTTCAACTTGGGCTGCAAATCCATAAAGTATTTTAACGGTCGTTGAGTGATTATTCGGAATGCTATCAAACATGTGATAGAAAGGGTAGCCTCGTAAAGTGTCGGTAACAGTTGACACTCGATTGCATGATAAGACTTTAAGGCGATTTTCATGCAAAGATCACCGCAAAACGCTACTCTGTTGCAGTTCGGACACGGCAAAGGCGCAACGATTCTGTGAAACAAAAAAATATTAATGTAATCGTTGTTGGTAAAACTCACGATCCTAATTATGAGTAGACAATTAGTAACTTCAACAGTGGAATAGACTGTGAATATTTTAACGTCTCAACTCCTAAAAATTATACCTGCATTTTTTGTTTAACGCTCTGTGTTTTAGAAGTATAAACTATACATAAGTACCTAACATAAAAATTAATTAAAACTTTTTTCAAATACGTTCTTTTTAAAATCTGAAAGGACCTAAGAAATCAAAAAATTTAACGAAATTATCATACTATAGAAAGTTGAATTGCTGTTGAATTAGGTTGTGCAGAAGTTGTTTTGTAATAACACTAGATTTTATTACATTAACTTTATTACAAATTCACAATTCTAACTGTGGTTATGACCATAGATTTGTTTACGGGTGGTGTTGGGTATACTACAGTAACACTTGAATCTTTATTTTGGATTATTATTTATTAAAGTAGGTACATTAATTTATAGATACCTTGGTTTAAAATATATAACAATTGGAATTTTATTTTATGGTAAATATAAAATAAAAACATCGTTTTTAGTTGATTATTATTATTACATTGACATTGACACCATAGCGTGTGTAGTGTAGGTACCTACCATAGGCAATTTGACATTTTTCAGTTGATGGTTCAAGCTTAGTTAATACCACTCACCCATCTACCAAAAAGTCATATTAGGTACAACAATTTACCCTATTTTTATTAAATTACCAATTTTACATTACCTACCGTTGCCAGTTTCCAAGACCAAGTACCTACCTATTAAAATGACCTCCACCCCAAACTTTTTGGTTGTTCAGTGAACCATACAATTCATGATCAAGCAGTCACTGGTACCTACCATACTACCATGTAGATATAGACTGATGTAGACCTAGTGTTGAACATTATCTAGATAAATAGTTAACTATATTTTATCTTAACTATTTATCTAGATAATAACACTTAAATTTATCTAATATAATACAAGAGATGATTATTCTTCTATCAAGCTATCAAGCTAACTATATTTTATCTTAGCTTGATAGTTGAAGAATAGTTATCTCTTGTATTATATTAGATAAATTAAAGTGTTATTTAAACGAATTTATATAGATAAATTAATTTTTAATGATTCTTTTTCACTTGTCATAATAAAATAATTAAGAATCATCGTAGCCTAATCTGTAATAACTAATGAGTTGTTACAAGTTGGTTACAAAATTTTAAATTTAATTCATCTTATAGCCATAAATATTATTTTTATTCCCTAATTACTTATCAGAAATCACTACTCAGTAGATACCACGGATATATCACATACAAGATTTATGTATGTATATAATATAAGCTTAGTGAGTGGTGTATAATGTATATTATACAGAAATAGATATCTATATACAATTATATTATTCGAATAAACCAATAATAAAAGATAGACGAAAAAATAATAAAAAAATAGTAAAATAAAAAGTATTATTATAAAATATATATATACATATATATATATAGTAGTTAACAAAAATAAATGAAAACAGTTTTCATTTTTTTTTATCTAGATACTTATTTATAGATTTATATTTTATCTGTATCATAGATAAATTGTTACTATCTTTTGATTTTACCTAGATAAATCATGTTATCTGTGTTCAACACTGTGTAAACTACGGTTATCTACGAGTGTTGGATAGACCTTATCATAGGCTGTTCTACGGGTGTGCCGGGTGTGCCTTAGTACACTCTATTGTGAATAATGTGTATAAAAAAATTGAATAACTACAGTTAAGAATATATGTGCATACACATTAATTAAATTTTAGTTTTTTGGAAGTAATAATGCACAAGGGCATATTTGAGGAGGGGGGCGAAGGGGGCATTCGCACTCCCCAATGTCTCGTAATTTTTTTGAATATAGTACATTGATTTATTTAAAAAATGTAATGTATAAATAATTAAAAATATAAATTACTAGTCTATCATTATAGTATGATAATATATTTAATAATATAATATGTCAATTAGATCACGGGTATCAATTTTTGTTTATTTTCTTATAACATTTTGGTTATAAAACGAATAGTGGTATTTCGTCAACGGATATTGCTATGGTTATAGATATTTATAACCATAACCGAGGTATTTATCAGATAATATAAAGTAATTTAAAGTAACATTTTTTTTACCACATATTTACTAGATAGTCATTTTTTGGTGCATTTATGCATATTGTATATTTTTGTATTTATTAGAGCTATATAGTCCTTAATAATTTTACTCGTATAATTTTTTTTTACTACATAATATCTGGTACTTTTTTGTAGGTATTTAGTCATTTTTTTTGTGTACAAATACATGCATATTTGTGTATTTTATAAAGTTAGAAGCAAATATAAATCATAATAACTGACAATATTGGTTTCTATATTTTTTAACCTGAAAATATTGGCCAAAAATATATTTTTGTAAATTGAAAACATGGTTAAGATCAAGAATAGGCCAGCATAGACTAACAGGTTTGGCTTTGTTGCATGTGCTTAAAAATATTATTGTATCCATTGATGAAAAATCAACAAATTTGCCAAAATGAAAAAAAGAAATTTGGAATATGTTATATTACTACTTACCAACCATATGTTTTCTACTTAGATATTTGTTAAATTAATTTACCTATCTTAATTGTTTTTTAAAGTTTTTAAAAAATAATTAATAGGTACTATTACTACTGTGATAATTTGTTGTTTTTTTATACAGGATTCAAACTAAAGGTACAATTTTAATATAGGAACTATTTGTGTTTTTATTATTAATACCTACTTATATTATATGCAGTAGGTTTTAATATATTTATTAAATAAATATTAAATTCAATTTAGTATTTGTATTTTTATTTATTCACTCAAATGAACAACAGGAACATGAGCTGTAGGTAATGAACTAGAGGCGTACCCAGGTATTTTTTGGGGGGTCCAAAATTTTTATTTTATCTGTTTTCTTATTATAATTATAGTTTAATTCAATACCAACAAATTAATGTTAATAACTATAGTTATAGTCACAATTGTTATACACACATCACACATATTCTTTACAAAGGTTTATTATAATAGGTAGGTACTATAATTTTAAATCAATTTTTATTTCGTAGTAAAATGTTATAAAAAATACATTATTTAATTAACAAAAATAAATAATATTAAAAAAGCAGTATAAATTAAACATGGTTTATACATTATAGGTATATTATAAAATCTATAAACTTTAAAGATAATGAGAAATTAAAATACACTATATGTATACTATTTACTATTAAGCCATTGAGTATGTAGAAATTTCAATGGGGGGTCCGGACCCCCCCCCCATTGGGTACGTCCCCCTGTCATGAACTGTAAATTATCTTTAAATTTGTTCCTGAAGAAAAATTAGTTTCACCCCCCCCCCATGTCCTCAACTCTAATACGTCCTTGATATTGTAAGTGTTCAGAATAAATCTGAAATAATAATTGCGTGTATTTTTTACCTATTGTTATTTTACATCATTAATGAAGCTTTTAGTTTTAAATTTTAAACCATAACACGGCCTACACATAGGTGTTTATACCCTTCCCTTTATATTTTTAAAAAATAACCAAAAAATGACAGGGCATACTAAAATGTAAAACTCTGGGTCCGCCTATGCACCTTATGATTTAAAGTACAGAACGTGTAATATGAAGAAATATAATAGATTGAATATTATCATTACCATGGTTTCATAATCTTGCTATATATGTTCCCAACAGTATTTTATTATAAATTATAATGCATTATTAGTACAGTAAGAAATCTACTATTATTAGTGTTAAATGTATTGTAAATAAATTAAATTAAAATTTTTGAAGACATTTCAACAATATCTACTGTAAAAATCTCACCACGCCTGTGATTATGATTAGGGAACTGATTTATATGCACAAAAGATCCTAAAAATATGCTTCCAAGAATGCTGTAATATTTTACAAAATATGTCCTTATAATTAAATGAAAAATATTTTCTTTTAAATTGTGTAAAAATTTCACAAATATTGCATTACAAAATTCAACCATTAGTTATAAAAATATCTTTATGCTCATTTATGTATATCTGTAAACGACTCATAATTATTGTTTTTACTTTAGGTATTTTAAATTTATGAATTAATAATAAACTGACACAAAATCTGGGACAGTTTTACACGTAATAATATAAAAAATATATGCACGAATGAACGAACCAACTGATCGGTTTCCGTGATTCCGTCAAGTTCAAATCTATTATATAAATTTATTTATATTAATATAATTTGTATATACACGAATGTTGCATTCGAGTATATCATTTTAATTTTGTCTATAACGACTGGTCTATATCTATTATATGGCTGTGAACGTGAAAATATAAAGATGAAACAAATATATGTGTTATAAATAAAAATATGCACTATAAAACTACAAATATGCTTGAAATATACAAAATAAAATTAGTGTTATTTTAATAAGAATGTTTTAGATCGGGGACGATTTTCATCAGATTTCAAAATACTTAATCCAATACATATATGCATTTGCATATAAATCCGTTCTCTGGTTCTGACATAGAACTACTATGGAGACGTTTGAAATGCTTTTATGTTCTTATGGGTGTGTTCTAACTTTAGCACTTCGAGAGACGAGAGAGGACTAATCTACCGACGATCTCGACAAGGATTGCCTGAAGTTTAAAATGTATAGTCACTTGATAAAACAGTGGGTGCAATTCGAATGGCAAAATTCGCGGAGCAGCACTGACGCATATGCCCGTTCGGCTAGCAGAACCTTTCCCACGGGAACGTTCTGGTTAGCCACCGCGTGTCTTCCTTCCTGCTCGTTGTATTCGATGGATACAGCGTCGCTAATCGCCGGATACGCATCATTCTGTTTGCCGTAAAGTCTCGGCACCTTTCGTCTCTCGGCCTGCGTGGACTCTACGTAAAACATAATTTATTATTCGGACTTACGGCGGTATGGTATATTATTATCATAGTGCAACCGTTTTTCAAGTTCTTGTCCTTCGCCATCATCGTCAACATAACCTGCACGTCTAACTGTCGTTTGCGCCTCTGGTCTAGCGATAAATTTGAATTGTCCAGAGCCTGCATGGTGGCCCTAAACGATTCTAGAGCAGATTTTAGCTGTTTTGTAGCCAGCAAACACCGTGCTTTCCTGTATACATAAATACAATGAAGTACATTAAATATAATATGTAATAACATACGCACACGTGTCCATAGGCTGGTTAGGGAAAAAACGTTTTTTTATAATACTGAAAACGTAGTATTAACTTCGTTCGTACTATAACTGTCAATCTGCAGAAAAAAACCTTGATCGAAAGTTTAAAAAATTTGAAAATATTTTTTAAAATAAAAAAAACATTATAAATTGTCTGCAATCAACGTATAAAAAAATTGCAATTCTTACTATATATACAGTTTTTGAATAATAGAAGCGAAAGTTTTCTTTGTTTTTATTCAACAAGTCGTCCAGCCTGTCTGTCTAATTTGAGGTAAAATAGTATTAATTTGGAGACAATTTATACTTTATTGATACTTTAATAAATAATAATAAAATTGAGTTAAGATTAAAAATATGCCGTTTTATAACGACCAATAGGCTTTAAAGTCAATCGATATTTAAACATTCATTAAAACTATGTATTTTATAATATAAAAAATATTAAAATGTAATATCTCTTTAAAACCTAGCAAACCAAACTTTTAAAGTATATCTACGCCGGACTCGGTTCACGAAAATATATCGTATTGTAATTTACAATGTCTAATATTGTTATTATAATATAATTTATTATAATTTATGACAGAATACCTATCGTGAATTTTATATTGTAGGTATGCAGGATATCCGTTGTCGAACGCTTGCCGTATGTCCGAAATGGCTAGATCGTACTCCTGCAGATGATATAAACACGCCGATCGATTGGCGTAGAGAATCGACAGCTGGATCAGCCAATCTATAACATGGTTGTGATACGTGACTGTCATTATTGATTACCTATTGTCATGTACGAGTATAACAACCGGCCAACCCCGTGAAAATAATTCGTATGTTCCGCGCTCTTCTTTTTATTCTACGTGTAGGATTTCACAGAGCCATTTTTGCACTTGAGATAAACTCTAAAATTTAACACCCCTTATCGTCCAACTCGACTTGACTCCATGCCACAATATGAATGGAGGAGAAATTAACTTTCATTTTCATCCCTCGCATTGTATTCCGGTAGTTTTTAAAACTTGTAAGTATTAATTTTGCTACGATAATCCCTCCCCCAAATTTTTTTTGGTATACTATATATGTACCAAAAGTTTCATATAATGTTTATCATATTATATCCTATATTCTATATCTTCTTCCTCCGAGAAGAAAATTCACCAAGAATGCTTGATAGAAAGTTAATTTTTCGATTTTTCAGTATGCACACTGTACAATGTACAGCATTCTTGTTGCATTAACGAAACACTTGGATAGTATGTGAAATTGTAATATCGCTATGCAAACGTATACAATTTTCTTATTACGTTATTAATGAAAGTAATAATTATTATACATATTATACAGATAATTTTTATCTTGTAGAACAGTTTATTGAATGCGAAAATTTATTATTATTTTTAAATGTATAATCAACTACTACAATATGACGATAAACCCTCCGTCGCTGCAGTATATAATATCGGATTTTTCCTTTTATTAAATAAATTTTATAAACACATATTTATAGAAGCTAAACTTCCGAGAGGCTTTTTTTTAGTTCAGAAATAAGATTCACTGTATACTTTACTCTCTCTATAGGTGTCGCACAACATACCTTTGGTCTGAGGACAATGAAGTACGGCCAACGAATACCAGTTTAACGCTTTCCGATAGTCTGTATTTTGAAAGCATTCGGTCCCGAGCTTTTTCATTTCCAAGGCCTTGTCACCGTTTTTACAGCTGTTCCTTTCGTCATCGTCATCGCCATTTGTCGCAGTATCATCCTCTGCGAGCAGCCGCCCGTAAACAAACTGTATTTTTTGTTTATCATCTACCAACCCAATGAACTCATCCCAGTCGGAGGACCTTAAAGTATTGCGAAACCGGTTGTGTCGAACCGAAAATGGCTTGCGGCCTAACGAGGCCGGCTCGTCATCCATTTTGGCGACTGGACAACGGTGTTGTTATACATGCGTTGCCGTCCACGGCAGCAAGATCGCGGGTTGACCGTTCGGCCGGATGGTATTTTTAGACTTTTGGACGGATTTCAATATTAACTTCAATACTCGGTATGTATGCCTTGCAAGAACAGCAAAACTTCGACCTATGGGAGGGGATAAATCGTAGAAATTCATTGTTTTTTACAAATTACCGCAGTCCAAAGACAAGGGTCACATAAAATATACCGCTATATTCTATCACAAATTAGTAAAACATATACAATTTCAATTTAAGGTTAGATCTAGAGATGATTAACAATGACAAAATGTGGTTATTGTGACAAAGGTGACAGCTGCTTTACAGTCATAGTGATTTTTAATGATGACAGCTTACCATTTTTTTGCATAATATATATTTTAGTTACTCAGTTACCAATAAAAAATTTAGCAATGCACGTAAAATCACGTTACTGCTACACAAACTAATATAATTTTCTATATACATACTATAGTATAGTTTATTTTAAACTCAATGGTTAATAAGTAATACAAAATGAATGCATCAAGATAATGTGTTCTCCCTCCTATCATTCCTTTTAAAACGAAGAATGGAAGCCGAACGACCACGTGAGTTGCCCGAAGTACTCCAGACGGACACATTAACTGTTTGGTGTACGCAAGCCAGAGCAACGAGTGTAAATTCAACACTATAGAGTAATATGAAAACAACTTTTTACAGTGAGAGCATTTCGGACTCCGGTCGTTAATTAGGGTAGTAATAGTAATAATTCATTTTCCCACTGCGATATACGTCTTTGCCCATTAAAGTTACTTATTTCCGGCTTAGAAATTGATAATGATTAACTAATAACAGTCATCAGTCACCGGCGCTAACAATGTTACTGGTCACTGTTTATTGTTTAATATTTTACTGGTAAGCCCAGGTAACCAGGAGAGTCACCAAAGTCGCTAGTCACCATTTATTTTTGATATTGTCGCAGTGACTAACAGCGACACTGTTGTCGTGGTGATAAAGTAAAAGTGACGTGATTTTACACTCATCACTAGTTAGATCCGTAATTTAAATTGTGTCTAATTTCTCCAAACCCTAGACGACGCTTTTATGTCTATATTTATTCATTTTATTTATTGCATATATTATATATTTGGTAGATGATAATGTGTTTAGTGGTTACGTGTTCCTCTTATAACACGTAACATTTAGCATCTATATGTGGACAGAAAAAATTGAATATTTATATAGAATTATTTAGGTATGTAATTGAAAATGTAAATATAAATTATAAAATTGGTGACTTGAAGGTTCGAATAGAAAGAATAATTGATTTGTTATGCAGTTTTATTTTTAATTAAGTAAATATATATATATATATATATATATATATATATATATATATATATATATTACAAATGGTAAATTATTATGAGTTGTTTTCTCATAAATATTTCCATTATGAATATCGATAAGGTATATACTATGAACGTTTATTTCCTAACAAGCCTAGAAAATTACTATTAATGTCTATACAATTTAATATTATTGCATAAAATATAACGCAATTCAAAAACATTGTATCTTATGTAGTACAAGTCTATAAAATAATAATTGCTATATTATTTATACATGTAATAAATATAGTCATAGTTAGTATATCTACATATCTATAAATAAATTATTAAATAGATTATTCAAAGCAATTAACTTACTTCATATTAATAAAAGTTACTATACATTTAAATATATATATATATATATATATATATGTTACCGGCAATATGGAGAAACCGGAATTTTGCTAAATTCCTAGCATTATATAAAATGCCAAAAATCACTCGACAATATATATAATACGAGCTTTGCCTAGGTATTACGTATAATGCCAAACGTGGAGTAGACAATATGATGAAAATAAACAAAATTGGGCATCGCCTTTTACCAACGACTTTACTTATCATTTATCATAAACGTGCATGCACGATTTAACGCAATAAAGATTCTTTTACTATTATAAAAATAATTCTGAGGCACAATATTGAACGTACTAATAATTACAATATCATAATTTTTCTCATCATTTTCGTGTCTCGATATAGTGTTGCAACTATGATTACAATTTACATGAAGTCAAATTTTTATAACAAACTACAAACATTTTTTAAAAAAATTTGGCCACTAATACTAGTTTTTTATCTGATGAATAGTATGAGTTGATAAAAATTCAATTTATAAGAATTAGCCAAGGATTTTTAATATGTGTATGTTAGTCCAAGTGTCAAAATAAAAAGTGTGCCTTAAAAATAACATTTTGTGCACTTCAAAATGTCACTCTCTATAACATGTTATAATAAGTAAATAGTAGTTTAAGTAAAATATTTATATAATAGTAATAATATAATAATAGATAAAAATTAAATGTTGTCTGTAAAATGAGTAATAATGTATAATAATTATAAGAATCTTAATTATTACAAATTTTAAAAAAAATTTCTTTTTTTTTTGCTTTAAAAAAAAAGAATAATGTGAAAAAAATGTTATTCAACTTTCAAGTTTTTTAAAATTATTTCGAGAAATGTAGAGATATTTGTAAAATGTTCCTTTTCAAAGTATTAAATATACAACATTTTCTATTAAAAAATATACTATGATAATTAGAGCATTTATTTGTGTCCTCAATTTCAAAAAAACTGTAATGTTTGACAAAACACTATGTAATTATTAGTCGTAAAAGATAAATCTCGGTTGAAATTTAAGTCTCTTGCATATTTCCTCTATTTTTCTCGGTTATTCAGAAAATTTTAGAAATTCAAAAAATTATTTCGTTAAATTATCAACTAGAACCCATCACCTATTTTTTACTTTTCATTTGATGATATTCGGAGCATTCCATTTGATTTAAATTATGTACACAGACATAAAAAAACGTACATCATGGTTAAATTAATGAATTCCTTGTTTCATTCAAAATTTAAAATTGAACATCGTTATAATTTCCGTATGAAACTGTAACATTTTGTATGTTAGAACGTAGTGATATAGGTATGCATTTATAACTACACATAATATCATTGTGTATACATAGAACACATACATACGTACCTTTTTTTATACCTATTGTTTATTTATTTCACGATTTATTTCCATTTTGAATAATTTTTACGCGATCATATATCACGATAAACAGACCACATGTTAATTATAATAATTAACATAAACGACATACGCTAAATCATAATTTTATTGTTTTCTTAAAAAGTTGTACCTACAACAATAGTTACTGGCAAGTGTATGAATAATAAAATATAAATTATAAAAAAATTTAGGTAAGTATCCTTCTATTGTGTTGTTGTCAAAACATAACACTATAATAGGCAGATATATGTACCTTATATGGATTGGTATTCGTAAATATATACAATAAAATATTGATTTTGTTATGTATATTAATGAACGGGTATATACACATTCGTGACTAATAATTAATACCATTAAAATTGCATTATAATAAGACTTACGATTTAAATGGTTGATTACTATTTAAAGTTGAAACTTCTTATCGTAGGTATGTAAGAATTGAATGTATTAGATAATTTGCTTGTGTAGCGTGCTACATATAATTTACAACGGTTAAACAATTCGTCGAACTAATGCTCAATGCGTTGTAATCTGTATGTAACATGAGAGATGTGCAAAATCACAAATTTCAATAGGAATTATTGAATAACTGGTATCTTCTACTAGATCTTTCTATACTATCACTGTTATTATTACATTTTGATATTCCTCTACGAATTGTATAATTTTTTTCTCGTAATATCGTATTACATTTTGATTGTTTTGTTGTTATTTTATTTTTTCTACGTTTAAAAATATCTTGAAAGATATACAGGGGTGTTATTTGGGGGAGGGCAGACTATGATAAATGTCCCACTTTTTTTAAAAACTCAGCAATTCTTTGTCCGATGATCAAATGCTAAAATCGGTAAATAGTAAATTTTTATTTACTATTTTGTACTTAGAAATCAGATAACATTTTCTTTTAAATACACGTTCACGGTTTATTAAAAGTTGGGAATAACTCGCTCCTCCCCAGTTTATGACAATTGCTATTACGCGAACCTTATAAATTTTATTTTTGGTATATTATATATTTCTATATATGTGATCTTTATAAAACAGTTTTCGTGATATCGTTACTAAATAAATTGAACTCATAATCTATAAAAAACTGTTAAAATCGTTCCTATTCACTCCAAACTACGGTACATTATATTTGAGATACAATTTTATTTTTTTATAAATAAGTTTTGTAAAGTATTAAATAAACATATAATAAAATTATAAGTATTTATTTAATTAGATTTATATTATTATTCCATTAAACCTATTGATAGGTAACTTATATCCTTTAGGATAAGTAAATTAATTAATGTTTTACTATCTTTAATGTTATTATTTAATTGGGTAAATTGAAACGTTTTATGTTTTTTGTTTATCATCATGACATCATTATTCATTATTAATCCTTATATGTTTTGTACCGAAAAAATATTTTATTGATAGCCTATCGTTCATAAATATTAAGTATTTAAATGTATAGGTAACCATAATTTTTTTAAATATTATTAAGTCGATTATATTTCGAATTAAAATTCGAGCTCAAGGTAATTATTATTATCGCTTAAGGATTAGTCGCAAATGCAGATTCGCAATAGGCCAACGATTATTTGTACATACTTATAGCTTTGTGTCAATCATATAAAAGTAAAACAGTCACCACGGACGACGTTTGAATTTTCGTTTGGCGTAATATTATATAAATGTATCTAAAAAAGGAAATGAGCAATCGAAATAAAAGGGCACTATAAATAGGAGCTAAAGACACATATTTTTTTATTTTTATTTTTTTACAAAATATACATGCGTTTAAAGCAAGTAACGAATTGTGAAAATAAAATATTCGATGAAATTTGCTATTACACAACAATAATAATTTATTAAAATAAAACAATTGTTAGTAAAACGTATACAACCCTTACCTAGTAAATAATATAGATAGGTAATTTCTACGTTTATAAATGTATATTTTTGTTTTTAATAATGACAAATTAGAGTAGTATATAACAATTATTTTAGAAAAATAAAAAATAAAATCGTTACAAACTTGAAAAAATTAATCGATTTAAAAAAAAATAGTGTAGTGTAAATATAATATTTATATCATAATTTTTGGAAAATACATTTTATAACTATATAATAACTTTATAATATATAGATATTTATTACTTACAAAAGGCACCTTTGTTTTGATTGTTTAGCAATGTGTTCTGACTAGATACCAGATATAATAAATCCATACTTATAAATATTATACATAAACCTAAATTAGTAGAAAAAAAATACATCATAAATATATTTAAACAACACATACAGAAGTTTTAAATGTATATATGATTATTAATCTAGAGTATTATAAGATGGTGAACATTTTACTCATTATGATAATAAATAGTTTAATGTAGACTTGTCTCACGATTAATTAACATATTTAAAAATGTATATGTAATCGTTGATTAAAAATTTAGTTTATACATTTAAAACACATATGAAAAGAACTATCAAAGAGTGATTTTATCATTATATGGGACAGCCTAACAATTCAACCATTGAGACAGCCTTCTATATGATAATTCAAGTTTAAATGGGAATAATATTTTATGTAAACAGATAAATAAATTACCAAAAAAAAATCTGAATAAAACATAAAAAGCAATGAAAAAAATGTAAACTTTTTGGCTTTTAACCGAATGAATCCTGCACTATTGACAAATAGCTATAGTAGTAAAGACTAGGCAAAAATAAATATTTTACAAGATGCAGAAACATTACTATTGTATTACACAATTATTACACATTACTATATAATATTATATATTGGTATATAATTACTACCATATGCATGTCTTATAACATATAGTAGCCACGGCGTCGAAAGAGCTACAAATAGTACGTATAGGTATACTGCTGCAGAATATTAAACGATGTGATATGTGCATTTTTTACTTAAAATTTTTTTTGACTAGAGGCTTTGTTTTGCCACTGTCGATCAAGTCTTTTGCTGTGCTAGCAGCGGTAGGCCTCATGAATCCCAATGGTTTCCCGGATGGCGACGATCCTATCGTACCAGATCTGCCATGATTCTCTTTGAAACTAGTGCTCAATGGTTTTGGCTTTGGTTTGTTTACAGGAACTGCAATGCTGCTGCCACTGCTGCTACTTCTGCTGGCCATCGGCGTGTTACGGTTGTGCAGTTGCAAAGCGTTCAGCGGTTTTTTTGCCTTCAACTCGGTCGTCAAATCGTTAATGGCTCGTGTGTAGGTCGCTATACCGGGAATCTTCTTTACCGTGCTCACCGAGTTTGAGCTGTTTAACGAGCTTCTTGAGCTGCGCAAACTACTCTTGGAACTAGACCTCTCAACTGGCTTTGGCGCGCTAATGTTTCTAGTTACGGTCGGTCTCTGGACGGCCGTCAACTTTGTCGCTGTCGCAGGCTTGATCGACGCAATCACTTTTGCCGTCGGTTTCTGTATAGTCTGTGGACTTCTGAAACTGCTTGTCCGTTTAGGTAGTTCAGTTTTTCTCACTACTACGGGTTTAATGGATGATTTGAGCGAATTCGTTTTTCTGAGGGTAGACGCAACGGGTCCGCTGCTACTAATAGTATCGTTACTCCCACTACTATCAGCCCTCGTTACTGCCTTTGTAGTAGATTTTTCGGTCTCAAAATTACCAGATGAAGTCTCTTGACTTAATGACTCGGCTGATATCAAACTTACCGATTCTTCAAAACTAAAAAAAAAAACCGATATAATTTTTTATTCTGTTAATATATTCATAACAATAAAAAGTAATATTCGTAATTTATATTTACCCTTCGTCGTTTAAGTCGTGTTCGGTTCTAGTTTTTATTGGTGGCGTTAGAGCTTGCACTCTAATCTCTGGAATAAATTCGCTTTTCATATTTATTGACGACTCATCATTATCATGAAGATTTATCTTAGTGACTCGATTTAGAGTTTTTGGTTCTATGATATTTTTTTCAGGGGTAAGTTGACCATAGATTTTTACAGCTTTCATGATATCTCCATGGTCTACTACACTTTGGTTTCTAGTTGATCTAGGCATAGACGAATATAGTCGATTCCTAGAAAAGTCTTTATTACTATCATCTTCGGGTGTTTTGTACATAAGCTTATCTTTCCATTTTTTCAACCGGACATCAGTTTCCTCGTTGCCCTTCGGTGATTCGTACTCTTCTGATTTCCGGCCTACGTCGTCTTCTGCAGATTTTCTATATCTTCTGGTGCGTCTGGCAGCTGAAAACCTATCAAATTGACCGTCTCCTAGTGTTTCTTCTTCGACCGTTTGAATTTTTGTCGGTATTGATTGGGGTTTTACAATTAGTCTTCGAGATGTTGGTGGTGTCTCTATATTATCTGAATCAATATCGTGTTTATCAGTTATATCCCCTGGATTTGTGATATCCGATATTTTTCGTCTAGGAGCAAATGGAGGTAATAATTTATCATCAGGCGAATCTGGACTGGGTAATTGCTTTTTTAATGAAGATGGGCTTCTTAAATCTGGTTTTATTTCTGGCTGATTTGTCCCTCGTATATAAACTGTTAGACGATCATGATTGGACACGTTCTGCCCTAATTTTTCGATGAAACCTTTTCTTCTGTCTTCTTCTTTGATAGCCTAAATATATTAAAAATCCAAAACAGTTAATTCGAGTTGTATGTAATAGAAAATGTATTGTAAATTAATATTAAAAATATAAGCTTACGTGTAAGGGTGTGCTATGACTGTCGAAATTAGATAGAGTAGTAGGTTTTTTATATCTCTTCATGTTTGTATCTATTTCTTCTGATGTATTGGGTACATTTAAGTTAGACTTACGCCATTGCGATTTATCTTTAATTTGAGGTTGAGCTTTTGAAATAATTAAGTGTCAATGGTATTGTTTTAAATAATGAGCGATTTAACTTACCAGCAATTGCTTCCATGACGCCAACAACGTCGGTTTTATCAATAGTCGGTCTCCAGTCAGAATATACTCTTTTATATTCGTCATTATTGACATCAGCCAATTTTCCTTCTGGTAATGTATCTAAAATACTACTACGACCATCACTTTCTGAGTCGTTTTCTAACGATTTTCGGTTGCTTTGTATTCGCTGGGTCTTGCGTCGTAAATCATTTGAATCTTTTTCTTCTTTTTCGTTTTCTTGCAGCCATGCTTCAATTTTTTGCCTCCATGCTCTATAGTATATAAAACAAACGAGTATTATCAAAACTGAATATGTTATTAAATTTTATTTATAATACTTTGGTTTAGATTCTTCTTCTGGAGTTGAAGCTGTAGTAGATGTGATTGACTTTGTTTCCACTAAAGGAGATGGAGAATTCGCTCGTTCTCTATCAGCGCTAAAATCAGCACTTAATAATTCCGGTCTTTTTTTGCCGCTACCTCTAAATCTTCTTGCCCAAGACCGATCTATGAATAAAATGGTAAAAAATATTCAGCTGATTACCTAACTCGACGTTTTGTTTCAATTTTTTATTTTATTAAATATATGCAAGTACATTGTTTTAAATTATGTATTCATAATATGACGAAAAATGGATGCATACAGAATATATTATAAGCAAATAAACGTATACAATAGGTACACTTAAAATTGTAAAATCAATAACAATAAAAACAATAACGCATACCTAATATCCAGTTAGAAAGTCGTGACAATAACCAACTAAGTTGTAATATTTAAATCACGATTAGATTAAATTAGTAGAAAGAATATGTATTTTGTGTACACATATGATTCATAAAAACCAGTTACTATATTATATTATATTGTTGTTATTTAACTACAATATATTTTATCTAGATTTATTACTTGTAAATATAATTTATAGGCAAGTATACCGCGTAATATGATTTATTTTTAGAAATGTAGTTATATTTTTTACTAACTATTTTTACCTAAACTTATTAATATTTATTACCTAAACTGCCCCATGATTTTCTTTGAATATTTGATACGGGAGGAGTAGCGTCCTGATTAGACGTTCGTAAGAAATCCATTAACGTCACGTCGTCTTCTTCTGAAGGCACTCTACTTCTTCTACGACGCAAACTTCCATTGGGCGTTACATCTTTAATAATGTTTTTGTTAAATTTGGTTTAATAAAAAATGTTATAAATATAGCTATAATACCTGGAGATAAATTATCTTCCTTATTAGGATTATCAACAACGCCAAGTCTGCGTCTAATGACAGCTGGTGAACCCGGTACTGATATATTATCTTCTTCCGAAGTTACGATTGTTGCATTATGTGGTCTTTTACCCTAATTATTATTAATAAATATAAATAGCGTATTTAAGTCTTCAATAATTTAATTACACTTACCTTATCAAAACTTTTTTTATGGGGAAATCCTGAACGAATATCATATAAAATCGAATCAACTAGATTACTTTCAACGTCAGCACCATTGATATGTTGATCATTGGTCACTAAAAAGTATGATAATTTACGAAGACGATACATGTAAGAATTATCTGTTTATAAGTTATAATATTATAATACTTGTCTTACGTAATTTTTTCTTCATAGCCAATTGTTCTTCTCTTTGTCTTCGTCTGACTAACGCTTGCTCTTCTTGCACCTTTCTCCGTTCGTTTTCGGCAACGGCTAATTTAAATTTCATACAGAAATTATGAACGATTCGGAAACATTCTTCCAATTTGAATGTGTTAACATCTTCACAAAAAAAATCGGCTAACGTTTTTCTCATTGATTCTAATTCAGCTATATCATTCTGTAAGCCTCCAACTTGTCTTTCGGCTACCTGTTAAATGTATAATTTATAATGGTATTCATTAGTTGAATTTCGATAACAATATTTGTCATAATATTAACTTTTAAAAATTCAATCATTTGATTTTTAATATCTTGTTCAGTATTTGGTAATTCGATTTGTTTCCGAACAACTTTAAACCTTGAATCTAAAGCATTTATTTCATTTTGTAACTGTTCCACAGTAGTCCTATTAAAAACAAAATTATGTTAAAATAAATTAACTTAAGTCAGCGAGTTAATTCATGTAGAATGCTTCTTTTTGTGTCCAAAAAGTTAATTTATAAATTTACAATATATTTAATTTGAGAACCAGAGTAATTTTCCTTATTAATGTAATATTTTTCTAAACTTAGAATTTATACTCATTAATGCAAATAAAAATATATTTTTTACAAGATGTTTCAATGCTAACCCCTATTTGTTGTTAAAAATGTCGAATATAAAATATAATAAATTGTATGTATCAACTCATTAAATAAAAGAAAATTTAATAGAATAATTCAATAATATTTCATAAAATATTATTATAAATATCTTTTGTTTAAAAAACATTTGAAAATGTTAGCCACAGTTAAGTGAATATATAAAGTATTGTTTGATTTAGATTTATAGTAAAAAAAATGATATTATTATTGATATTAATTAAATTAAATGATTTTAGAGTATTTAATTCTAAATGAAAACTATAAAAATGTAAATAGCATTCTGTGCAATTTTCTTATGAGCCAAAGTAAACTATTAAAGTATTTTACTTGGTAGCTTCTTCTAACACGGACATTTCCTCAGGAAACTTCAGTAAATCTTTTCTATTTTTCTCTGCTTGCTATAAAACATTTATAACGTTGGTGTTATTTACTCCATCTGTTTTATATGTCAATTATTTGTAAATAAATATAGTACTCACCAACGCTACATAGTGTATTAGATTCATACCAGGTTTATTAGCTCTTATATCAGTGAGTTTTTGTAATGAACTTAGTTTTACTCCTGCAGCTTTCCCCGCATAGCCACCCTAGATTTTAATAATCACTATCATAAAATATTTCTTACATAACTACATTCTGATATAATATATATGTATAAAGGTTTATGCACTTTTCACTCACGAAATTCAAAAAATTTCCAGCACAAATCACCATGTATAGAACTTCTTGGAATCGTTTGTTTGTCATTAAATCTAAATTTTTTTATATATACTATAAATTCTGTTATACAAATTCCATAAAAAATAATAAATAACTAGTGTTTTTTTTACCTTCACCAGCGACAATCATTGAATTAATGCTCGGTTCGAGGTAACTCATATTTGATGCGAATTCCTCCTTTAATAACATACTTTCGATGCGTAACTTGTAACTAGTAATAAAAATTCAAAAAAAATGTGTTACTGTACATTATTATGGTTTAAGGGCGAGAAAAAATTGAAGGTTAAATATTCAATATATGTGTTATATCTCACTTTGGAACGTCGATCAATTGTAATAAAAATTTCTCGGCATTTCCCAATTTGGCCTTATCTCCGTCAAAAGCTCTAAGCATTTCTGATTCGTCTAATTCAGGTAAGATTTTTAATAAACCACGAAGTTTTTCCGCACCAATATCATCATGGTCACCATCGCGTATTAATTGTATTATATTTTCATTTGAACTGTAAATATAAATTGCATGAAACTGTACATATTTTAATGTGCGATGCCATGTTATATGTACAACAGTATCTTACCTTCGGAATTGCTTCAAAAATATATTAACATTTAAACTTCGCTTTCCATCCAATAAAACAATCTGGAATTAAATAATTTAAAAATGTATTTTTAAACTAAAACATCAAGTGATATGTTAATATTTTACGAAAATTTAAAATAATGTTATCCTTTTACCTCTGTTGGTTCTTTTCGTTTTTTATCACACTCATTTGTGTCTTGGCCTAATCTAAAGTTCAATATTCCACTTTGACTAATCGGTGCTGTAGGGGCTTGTTGACAAAATAAACCTTCCATTTCCGACCAATCGAGATCTGGCATAGGTGAATTTTGATGACTTCTGGCAACAAGCGACCAGATGTTATGACGTCCAACAACCTAAATTGACAAATTTAATAAGAAAAATTAAGTAAAAGCCGTTAAATTAATAATTTTTAATATTTTAGTTCAAGTTATTACAATAATTTATAAAATAATATAATTCCCTTTTAATAAAATAATAAGCTATATGTTAAAATGTATACAACTTGCAAAAATATGAAATCATGAATGTCGTCCAAAATACTACATGTGGAAAATTAAAAATGTCAATTTTGATTTATTTAATTCCACCCGTGTTCAAATCGATAGAAATTTTTATTATGAATATATAGAAAGATAATAATAAAAATCATAAAAACTAATCTGTTCCTTCATTGATCGTTTATATTTTGATTATCTGTAAGACAAGTATCACTAACACATAAATAATATTCTTGTGTGAGGAAAACATCTTGCCTTTGTATTTAGACTTAACATTACTGTAATTAATGATGTTATCGTGATGGAGATTAGTGCTACGAGATTATTAAATAATTAAAGACCATCTCCCGAATATAATAATGATGAAAGAAAAAATTCTGAATGGACAAATATATATGGTCTGGTATAGATTATATTCATAAAATAATTAGACAACAGTCGAGATGGATACTAAATTTAATGAGACGTATACTTGACGTAAATAAATTTAGTATTTATCCGATTTGATGATTCGATTCGATACCTACATTGTAGTTACGAAACTATATTATATCCTCGGCAAAGTTGTTTATAAACTTTGTTTTCATTTTTTTCGGAGCCATTTTGCGTAATCTTAAATGAAATTTTTATTTTCAAGTGCAATTCGTGGTAATGAAGAGAAAAAAATGGGTGCATTCTAATCACCGTATAAAAATATGCAGCTCAGTTTCAATACAATATACATAAATGTACAATGTTTTAATGTTATCATAGGCAGTATTGCACGGTCGAACGATTATAAATGTATTATATTTTAGAAACTCGAAAAATATACAATATCATACTTTGCTGTCGGGAATCTTGTTCCAGTTTATGGTCTTCATTTTGGCTTTGGGCGTAGGGGTCTCTTGCTGAGGTAACAGTTTGGCGATAGCGGATTCCACCGGGGGCGGCGGAGGTGCATCCACCGTGTTCGTGGACCCGTTGTTACCCATGAGCACGAGCCGCTTTCCTGCGTGCTGCGTCGACTCAACAGTGGCCGGTTGTTGGTTCAGGGGGAAGAAAGGCGCTGGTGGTACTGGCGGCGGCGGTACGCCCATCAACGGGAGCGGTGGTGGCGGTGGCGGCGGCGGCGGTGGCGGCGGAGGCAGCGCAGTCGGAGTGATCGACGTGGGTGAGTTCACGTTCGACGGGCCCAACGATGGTTTACGTCCGCAACAGCATACCCGCAGTCCCACATCTCTGGGCTGGCTCTGGCCAAGGACGCTGGGTGTCCGTAACAGGCGCGACGCGTCTTGCCGGTTTTCCAGCAGCGTCGAACGATGCACCAACGTCTCGGCCGTGTCCCAGATTATGTCGCTGACCGCTTCGCGGGGGTCGATTCTCAGCAGATGTTGCAGCACACTCAGAAAGGGTATTTCTTGGGGCGTGTCGGCCACCTGTAATGTTACACGGTGACAGTTTACATCCGGTCTACAATGAAATTGTTGACAATTCCCTTCCCTACTTCGGAAGTACAGCATAAAATACGTTTTTGTGATTCACGGGTCTTATAGTTAATTAGTTCCTTTACTAATTGGGTCCCGGATAAATAAAATAAATAATACACGAATAAAAAAAAATATCAACAATTAAAAAATGTTAAATTTAAAAAATATATAAAAATATTTGTGGTAGAATATTGAGCCAACCTCTTCGTGGTGTTTCTGAGTGACGTTAATAGGCTCAGAATTATTATCGCTCAAACGTGTTAACGTATACGTAAATATATGCCTAAGCGTGCTAATACGTAAGAAAATATTACACCCAAGCTTATTTCTTTCTTATTTTTCTCCCCATATTAACAGAATTAGGACTGTAAGACTGTGTATGAATAATTTTTTGCCATAGTTATGGTAAAAAATGTTTTTTTTATTGAAATAATAAAAATATAAATTATTGGAATTTTGTAAATTTGATATAATAGAATAAATCGATAAAATACATAGTAATAATATAACAATACCTGGGGATAAAAATTGATCATTGATAGTCTATTAAAATTAGAAGGAAAATGTTAGTGTAGTGTAGAACTTGAAATAATCCGTGACCTTATAAGTATATATATTAATAAATAAGTAGTATACTACGTTTTATTAGATTCCCTTTAGCGTTAAAACATTTGACTAGTTTGAAGCGAAATCGTCGCCGTTTTTGTTTACAATTACGGCTTTAAAATGCGCTGGAACGAATTTGTATGCTGACACCCACCCGTTATCGTTATTTAATCAGAAAACAATTTCAAAACTGCTTAACATATTATAATGATTTTTTTTTTTACTCTACTGCAAAGAATTGTTCGTACCGATTAGAATCTCAGATACAGATAGCAGAAAATCGATTGTTTGCCACGGATTAATCAGTTTATACAAATATATGTCCATCGTTCATATATTAATACATGCATATATTTTCTAAAAAATTTAAAACCAACCTAATGATCGATAATTCACTACTACAGTAGTTTTAATATTGCAAGGTCAACTATACCATAGAGATTATAAAAATACTCGTATTTAAACTATAATAATTAATATACAATTTTAAATGCTTCAACGAAAATATATAAAATTTCAACAAAAAAAATGATAATTTCTAAAAATAACATCAGCTAACTATATAATATAATTATTTAGATAATCTTAGTTGTAATAATTTGTTTTAATTTTGCTTTATTCTGTATTTAATTAGATTATAATAGCTATAAAGAAAAAAATAAAATTATGTTTTGAAGTATTCACTAACCTGTCTTAAAATCGCATAAAATACATCCACGTGAGAATTTATATCAACTCCACGAAAAGGTACATCAAGGATCTGCGACTCGTCATTTTCTCGTTGTTCATCAAAAACATCTAATTGTACACCAAGATCCGCATAGTTTATTGATCCCTTCCTTGAATGAATAAAACAAACACAAAAATAAATAAATACTTTGCACTCAGAGACTAACTTCTGTAATCGTTTGAGAACGACTGATGCTGGAAATAGCAATCGTTTTTATTCAGTGACTACGGAAGTTCATTTTTTTCTCACCGACGAGCTCCGAGTACTATTCTTGTACATTTAATTCTGGACTCCAGAGCCAGTAGCTTGCTGCTAGTTTGTATGCATTATTTGGCAAATGGCCCATTTTTGGGATGAAATCGTTAAAATACAAAGATATCATAATGAATGTCAAGTCCAAATTGTATAACAATGAGAATGGACGAAAAATATCCATAGATATTAGTAAGTTTGGGATTTTAAAGTACACTAAAATATATTGAAAATATTCAAAACCTTTTTGCTTATTGTTCAATTCTTATTCAGTAGTTCGTAAATAAATATCTCATAAACGTAAAATATTTCAAGCCTGTAGCATATACATTTGGAACATAATATTGTCTTTTTATGTACTGATACTTTAATAATATTGATTATGCGATTTATTATACAATTATCGGAATTGCAGCTACACTTTTTAAAATCTTTTTAGGCCACGATATAATAAACATATTTTTTTAAACTTGTTGAGTAACTCAACTTGAATGATATAATATAGATATTGAAAGTTATTCGTATGACAATTTTGTAGAAAATGTTAGGTATTTGCATTTTTACTACTTTTGCTACATTAATATATTTAATAGGATTAAAAATTGTAAATTCTATGTACTATAAATCTATTAAGTTTAAATACAAGTTTACAAATTATCATCTTTACTCGGTACGTGGAAATCGTTGAATACTTCGAAAGACTTCTAAGACATTTAATGGAAATTTCTTTACTGTTAACTGAGCTAAAATAGTAATCGAAAACAATATTGGCAATATTCCTAAAGATATTTTCAGTTACTATTATAGTTGCTATGAAAATATGTACATTTTTTTCCATAACAAATGACTATACAATTATTACAAAAATGTTTTTAAATTATATTACACTTAAAAAATATAAGTAGGTACTACATACTAATATAATACATTTCATAACATTTTTTTTTTTTTGATTATCTCTAAACGAAAATGTAATTAGTATAATTACAATAATTAGTAATTATTATAAGGCAATTTAATTGTATTGTATGTTTTTATTTTAAATTAAATCTATACGTTTTACGAAACAGAAATTTAATAAATTATAATTATAATACTTCAAATATATTCTTAATATAACATGAAAATTAATTCTGTATCCTTCACTACATAATTTATATACATATATTTATAAAGTAAATAGATAATCTAAGAATCATACATAGTGAGATTTTAGTAGAAATATTTTTAACATCCGGATTTTCATTTATCGTCATACCCCTAAGGAAACCAAAATAATATCGTCAAAGACTAAGACGAAGTATTAATTAGTAACAGTTTTACCATCATTCACTCAGGCCATTAAGTGTTTTATTTTTTTTTACAGAAAAAGCTCTAATAAAATTCAGTTTCAAACAATTTAACATGTATAGGCTTCATGATATTATGATTTATTGTTAAGAATGAAGTACATGATATATGTTTAAAACAAATACTCACATCTTCAATATTTATATATACTAAAAATAATTAAAATTAGTTACCTCAATTCATTAAGTATTGGAAGGATCTTGAGACCTGAAATTATAATTATTCAAAAATTACGAAATTATAATTTATCTGATTAATTCTTAACACCTATTTATTGTTTAACTGACATAATTATGCAAAATTAACTATACTACATTAACCTACATAAGTAAGAATGGAATACCTTTTTTAAATGTTTTAAATTACACAATGATTAGTAGTTAGTAATATCGACATATGTCGATATTCATTTATTATAGCTGTTGAACTTAATAGCATTAAGAAACAATGCGATGACACGTTTAATGTAAGACATATAACTTATAGACACTAAATATTATCGAATTTTAATAACTCTAATGAGTTAGAATAAAATGTAATTTTTTATTGTTTAATTTTAAAAATCTAGTTTAATGAACATTAATATTTAATTTCAAATAACTTTTTTCGTTTATATTTAATATTTTGTTGGTAAATAAATCAGTATTAAATATATTATTCCAATTTAATCAAAACGAGTATGTTGAAGGATTATTATATAATATTCTCACAGAACTGTAAAATTCATTGCATGTTTAATTACCAATAATGACTATTGTACATGTTATAAAATAACTTAATTAAATGGTTCAAAGAATATTTATGAAATTTTTTTTAAATAAATCAAATGAGCCAAGGTTTTAAAATTTTTACCTATAAATTCGTTCCTAATTCTTATCCTATCTCGAAGTTGTGGTGTTGATATAATGAGGCAATTGATAAATGCCACAATTGCTGTTTGATAATCCGCTGTTTCTTGGCCTTTGGATAAAGCCCATTGCAACTCACGAACAACGATTTGTAATCTGTACCTTTCATTTTTTTGTTCCTGTAAATTAATCAACGTTGAAATCAAAATAATTATTATGTCACTATTATAATACTTTTAAGTATAAAATTATCATATTTTGTTGTTTTATAATTTTATATAATTTCCCAGATTAGTTTTGACTGGAAGTAATTTAAGAAAAGTTAATTATATAAATAATACAATATATAATTCGATTATATAAATTTATAAAGATACTAGTTGAAATAATTCAAAGCTTCTAGCTAATTATTTTCAACATTTTTAACTTAATTATGCAGTACTACAAATCTTAAGTAGGTATGTAGCTAAATATAATGTTATTATTAATATTTATTTTTTTATTTATAGCCAACCTAATACACTGTTAAACTACAATAATAATAACAAAAACAAGTTTATTCCTATGATTAAATAATCTTGAGAATTACTGATTACTTATAATAATCAATTACTAGACAACACGTAGAAAATAAATGGTAACATTAAAATTAAAATTAAAATTAAAACTATTATGTTTGTTAAATTAAAATAAAATGTAAATACATATAAATATTTAAAAAAAGTGTATTTGAAACAAATATTATCTGTAAATTGCAAAAATTAAACTGTACATCTCTTACTTATATATATACATGTATTACCATATAATTATACTTAAGAAACTTCTCTTAAAACATACTATCATTGTTTATATATCTGAAGTTATTTAAATCAAAGTGATGAATGACAATCAAAGCTAAAAACAATTGAGTGTTTTTATTAGATGGAATTATTTATATATCAAAATATTCAGTAATTTTAGAGGTGAAATATAAACCATATAGTTAATTATTGTGTGGCTTGAAATTTATTGAGTTTTATATAAAACCATGCCACTGTCTCATAGGCAAACTAAAGTGCTATCGAGTAATAGCTTATATCAATGAGTAGATCAAATGAAGGAAGGCAATAATATATAAATATTTTTAGGAGTGTATTATTATATTGATGGAGAATAATACTAGAATATATTATATATAATCTGATTCTAAGTGACATTTCTCAAAAATATGGACATACATTTATATATAGTTATATATTTTATTATACATATGAGATGTATAATAAAATATATAACTATATATAAGTTTAGTTTTAGATGTATTCATTATCAAATTGAAACAAATAATTGTCAATTAGCATTGATTAACTGTTATGACTTATTATAAACATAAAGTATTTGCAACAATATATTTTGATATGATTAATTAATATAAATTAATTAATGAATTAACTATTAAGAACAGAATCATCAATATGATACTGTTTAGTTAGGTAAGTATAATAATTTTGGTTTACTTGCCTTGTAATGTTGAAGGGTATCAAGTGCTCTGGCATGACCTTCTAAATTATAAACACATAATGCAGATAACAACTCCAATACTTGCTTTTTCACAGTAACATTATTGGTGTCTAGAGCTGTAAAAGAAATTTTTACATTGCAAAAATTAAATAACTGTAGAATATTTGAAATACGATCACAACACTAATAAATAATATAATAATAAATATAATATAATACCATTAGAGACTTTTTTTATCCTATTTGACGAAGACACTGTTTTTTGTACACACACCTAATTGAGATTTATTTGAATTAAAGATTGTTATAATTATGCAGAATGACTTAAAACAATCTTGTCATAAGCCTTATTAATTTCATGAATATTAACAGTATAATACTTCAAATTGGCAGTTACGTTTCTACATGCTATTTGCAAACGTGAGATTTGATTTTGGTTTTAATTGCTTACCATAATAAGATAAACCAATAATAATAATAATATAAGTGACGAATTTACATTTTTTAACATGCATAAAATATGAACATCAATGGCTCGCTATCATGTATAATTTTTGTTAGTGTTAATTATATAGATTCTACATTTTATATCTCTAAATTATTTAAACAAATATATTTATATTAGCTTAAATTATGTTTCTATGTTAATAATATATAAATAACTTTAATTTTTATCCATATGTGTTTTGATAATATTTAATATATATTCATTTATTTTTATGAGTTTGACTTTCAAAATCAAAATAGTACATACTTTTTGTAATGTACTGCAATAACTTATTAAATAATGAGCTTACATTTTAAGAAGGTAATTTTAAAATAAATTATCTTGTTCTGGAGCGAAATAAAAAGACAGGACAACATATAAGTAGTTTTAACAATTGAATGGTATTGATTTTACTTTGAGCAAATAAGGAGTTGACGATTTTCACAATTATTTTTAAGTAGCTAATAAAGTTTATAATGTGGACACAATTACGACGAGAAGGATTACGACGATGGAGAAATACATCAATTATATACTTTTAAATTAGACATAATATGTAGTGACAAACTGCACATTAGGTGTATTTTAAAATTTAGTAACCAAAAATGCATTTATATATTATATATATATTATTTTTATTTAATATTTAATAATTTGATTTTATTACTTTATGAGTACATATATTGATATATTAGAGAAAACCCAAGTAGACTTATAGAAAATATATTGAGTACTCTTAAGTTGGAATTAATTCAAATAAAGAAAATGTATTTAGTATATCATTCAATAACAATCACAATTGTTCTGGTCGTGATGATCATCTGAAGCTTAACGAAGGCCACCTAGCCATATAGGTATACTTAATTAGTATATAGTACATGTATGATTTACTTGTACTTTCTTAATATGTGTCTACTATGAATCATAACCAATAAACCAATATAATATCTGCAAATTATATATATATATAGTTTTAAGAATCTTAGAAAAAAATATCACAATTTATAATTCTTTTATTATTAACTAAGAAGGTAAAATTTGTGATGGAAATTTAAATTATAATTATGATTTTTCTGGTGGGTAAACATTTTTTATCTATCAAGTTTCGTATTTTTATAATGTTAACCGTAACTTTAATGCTAAATATTTTATGAATCTATTATACAAATATGAATGCTAATAGTAATAGGTAAGTTATAAATAAAGACTAATAAGACTAATAAAAAAACATCTAAATACATTATTTCATACAGTGTGTTTAGTTAATAGCAAATTATTTAATGTAACAAAAAAAATGTGTTCTATTGTAGTATATTTAGCTGCGTATAACAAATTAATTTAAAATGTTTAGCAATAAAATGTATTTAATTTACTAAGACTTTAAAAATATTAAATTATAATAAAAGAAAAAAATAAATTAACTAAAATGTAATCAGTACCATTAATATTTAAATAAAAATAATTTAGTACAAAATCTTTGTGAAAATCCGTAGTCTAATATAATTTATCATTTGGCTATTATGGGTCATATTATATTATATTATTTGAATAATAGTATTATAAAGTACTAAAGTTATATCAAATTAAATTAATTAATATTTATTATCAGGTGCTAATAGTTATAAACTATTATGTGTACATACTCAATATTATACTGTATGCTTACGAATAAAACAAATAACATTGTATACATTCAACTGCAGCAGTAATTAATTAATATTAAGAATTTTTTTAAATAATAAACGAAGAAAATTACTTAATAATTAATTAAACGCATTGTCTTGGTTAAGCGAACTATTACTAAGTGATCCATGTAATAAGTAGGGCTTAATAAATTGGTGGCAAGTGAAGTGGAATGAAATAAATAATAGTAGGCCATAGAAATGTCAATGTTTTCTACAGACCTAAAAAGCAAACAACAGTAAACATTACTATAAAAACATTTTTAATATTTAGTTTAAGCATAATTGCTTATATTGTTGTGAACTTTTTTTTTGCCTCACAGCCATTCAGACGTTTTACAGCTTTTACTAAAGCTCTCCAACCTTGATCCTCAGCATTCTCAATACTCTTTCCATTTCTGAATTTATTTTAGTCATGTTGTGAACTTAATGAATGCAATTTTAAATTCATGAAATTCTTATTAAAATATATTTATGATTGTACATATTGAAAAGAATTTAAATTTTTTATTATAATAAACTGTAAACATGGAATTAATATAATCTAATATCTTAATTTGAACAGAAAAGTAATTTATAATATTTTATATGAAGAATTTCATTTAAAAATGTAAACTTTTACTACAAAATTAAACCAATAATTATTTTCAAATTATAAACAATAAACTTTAGATTATAGATCCTCTTCTTAGACAATTTTTGGTATCTAAAATATATATTAATGTAATAAAAAATTTGAAAAAAAATTAAAAATTAGTTAATGGTTAATTCTCGTAAATTAATACAGAAATAAATAAAAAAATAAATACTTGGGGTATTATATATATTTTGGTAAAGAATGACTGATTTCGAACTAAAAATGTATCATCAGGTACTTACTAAGTCAATAAAATCGCGACTGAATATGAAAAAAATAAAGAAAGATCCCAGTAGATAAATTTAATGCAATCGTTATAATTTACATAAATGAAATTCATGAAAAAATTTTAGTTTTAATAAATAATAATTATATACTAAAGAGCAAATTTCTGAAATAATATTTAAAAATATTCCTCATTCAAATTTTGCTAAACGTGTTTTAGAAGATAATCATAATATTAATTTTGATATCAATACAAACTTAGAAATATAAAATACTCAAAATAAAATTTACATTAAATAATTTTAGAAGAGTTACCTACACAATGAAATAAAGAAAAATAATTGTTATAATATTTTAAATATACAAACCAATTTAAAAATAATATGTTGTATCAATATATTATAGATACAAATAAATAATAATCAAAATATTTATATTTATAAACATATGTATGTCTAATAAGAATTCATTTTATATAATCTTTCCTATTAAAATAAATTATCTTAATGTACAACGACCAATATTTCTCGATATATTCCTTCCTTCATTTTTTCATATTCAGTCGCGATTTTATTGACTTTGTAAATACTTTGTATACCTAATGATAAAATTTTAATTCGAAACTGGTCGTACTTTACAAATATAATAGTACTCCAAGCTAAGCATTTTTTGATTTTTATACATAAACTATATGTTTTTATATTTCTTCTTCTTTCTCCCGACTATTTGGGGTCAATCATCCTTGTCCTAAACTTCCTCTCATCACAATTTTTTATATCCCTTACGCACACACCAACGGCCATCCTATTATTCTCAATTGTATCCAACCATCTCTTTTTTGGTTTTCCTCTTTTCCCATGAACTTTCAATTTTATAACAACTATTACTGCATTTGTTTCCTTTCGTCTCATCACTTTCCCAAACCATCTTAGTCTATTTCCACTCAACTTGTCGATTTCAAAATAATTCTCAGCATTAAAATTAATTTCTAAATATATAGATTATGTATTAAAATATATGTAATATGCATAAAAATAATTGATAGTTACATATATTTTCTAAAAATTGAAAAATTGTCATTTCTTTTTTGAAATCATTAATCTTATTCATATATTATACACTAATACCATATATTATATTGTATTTGTATATAAAATCTGAAATTACGTTTACAATTTATTGATGAAGTTCAAATAGTGGATGTTCGGATATACTATAGTACATTCGAAATAATTTATTAAATAAATAGAAATATTACAATATTTGCTATGTTTTTACAAATGCAATAAGAAAAAAAAATTCTCTACATTTTAAATTATCTATTATGAGCAGTATACCGTGGTGCCCTTAAAAAATGCCCCTAGAGCACATTTTAGGAAACGCTAAAATATACAATTGTATTATATTAAATATAATTCTCTTGTATTATTTTACAACATATTACTATTGAAAATAAGACCTTATATATTTTAAAAATTATATTTTTTTTTTTTATATAATAATTGAAGTTACGGTTTTAATTAAATAATTTAAATAATTTACTTTTTAAAATTATAATTATTCAAATTTTCTAGCCGAATTTTTAAAAAAAAATTTTTTTTGTTTTGGCGACGATTTAAAAATGTTATGACGTATTGAACATAGCTCAACAACCAAAACCTTGGCCAAAACACCTTTAATACGAAGGGCTTACCACACCCAAAAAATTTAACAAGAGAAAGAGCAACAAACAGTTACATTACTATTAATTTGATATATATATATATATGTAGGTATAAAAGTATATATAACAGTGTAGAAATAGTTGTATATTTAAGAACATCGCCCACTTAGGTTAGTGTGTTAGGTGAGTGTCGTTCAGTTGTGAATGAACTTATGTGCGATCAACGAAAAAAACTAGTCGTTTACCTCCACAAGATATCGGTTTAAAAAAATACCAAGTGTTAACACACTCATAAAAACAATGGATTATAATCAGACCCACATGGTTGGGTATGCTTATTATTCATTTATTTAAAACAAATGAGGTAATTAGTGCTTTTCGGTGATACATTATGTACTTTAAAAATAATCTTCAAACACTGCATTTGAATTTCCTATTCTCAGATTAGATTTTCTCTCCAATATAATATTGTTTGAAATATATAAATATTTAATACAATTAAATTTCTTAAAAACATGTTATATAATATTTAAATATTCTTTATTTTATAAAATGTTATTGGTTTATTTGTAGTTACTACAAATATTCTGACTTTCGATATAATAAATTATTAATTTTGATATTTTCGATCCTTTGATTAAACAAATTTAATATAATTGATTTTATAAAATATGATATGATACATAAAATATTAAATCTTTTATCTGTAACTTTATGTAAATACCTATGTTTCTAATGTTAACTAAAGTTAATTATATAATAAAATATACATATTTTCAATTTTTAAATTCATCTTTATTTGTGCGTTTATTTATTACAAATTATTTGTATTAATTAAATTTACAATTTGTATGGTTATTACGATAAACGTTTACATATATAAAATATACACCTATATTAGCTTTCGTATTTCTTAACTTGTGTTAAGAAACACACACACACACACACACACACACATATATATAATAGATTTGATAATATTGTGCAAAATTTCCAATTACTTTAAATTGTTAATAATTCAATTTACGATAACGGTATGTTAAATAAATTTACTTTATAAAGAATAATCACATTTCCTAACAAAAATATATACGAGTATTCAGTTGTATAACCATATAGAAAATATACATATGAGAATAAGTACAAAATATCCATTTTGTATAGGTATATTATATTCAATGATACTGACAATTAATGACAAAGCCTGTAAAAGGATTATGACAAGATGAACATCTGTCTTGGATTCGAGTCCATTGTACTGATTTTTTATTTTAGCGTGGTGGGAACTTAATGGTTACTCTAAGATGCAGCAAAATATGATAGCTAGTATGTAATGATTAAGCAACTACAATGGTTGTTTGTATAATAATATGAGGATGGTAATGAAAGCATATTATGATATATACACGTATAAAATTTGTTGAAAATATTACGAATAAAAATATAGGCTACACTGTAAAAAATGTACACGACACAAGAGTTAGACGGTTCAGTCTATGGATCTGTAGGTGTTAAAACTGGTTTTTTTGCCGAGAATGATCTGCGTGACGTCAAACGCGCAGAAGTCCAGCTACTTGAGATTATATTATACTCACGCAGTTTCATTGAAGTTTCCAATCGCCAAGTAAAATTATTGTCCTACTAAAATTACATAATTTTATGAATTAAATTATTGAAATTGAACTATATTTTATGATTTTCTAAATCAATTAATTAACGTACATTGTACACGCTTATGAAATGTTTACAGAGTTATGATGTAGCATATTATTGAACATTTCAATGATGTACTTAATAATATTATAAGTTAAATAATAATAATTAATGACTAGTATGGGCATGATCTTACAAATAAATTATACAGAATAACATAAAAATAAATAATTAATCATAGAACAACTTTTTTTTTAATATTTTATATAATCCTGAATATACGTTCAAAATATATACTTATACTTACACATATTAAAATCTTCCTATAAACATAAAAATAATAATAAACTATAATGATCGTTATAAGAATAATTCCTGAAATTAAATTGAAAATTTAAAGTACTTAGTGTCTTACTGATAACAAAATCAAATTTTAAAAATTAAATGTTAATTTATGTAATGGTTCTAAAAATTGAAATTGATCATAAATACCTTTAGAGAAATCAAATAACATAAAATAATATTACACTAGTTATCATAATATTTATTAATTTAAACATACACTCATTATAGTTACCGAAAACTATTATTTACTTCTATATTTTACTTTTATATATTTTATATTCAATTGGTCGTCGAAGAAGTAAATAATTAAAATGCATGCATATTTTAAGTTGGATATTTAATAATTATAATTTAAAATTCGAAAATATATAGATACCTTAAACATATCTTAACAGAATAGAAAATTGGTTATTTTTTGATGTAGCATTCAATATTACAATTATTTCAATAACTAAAACTTTAAATAGTTATAATTTTAGTTTAGTTTAAAATTACAATTTGAAAAAATGTACAATATTTAATACACATTTAACAAGAAATAGTATTGTAAAATTATTCATCATAGATTTGTTGTGTAATTTAATATTAAAATTTATATTTATCAATACCTAATAAAAATTAAATAATATTTTATTTCGTGTTGGCTGCAAGCATAAATAGTGGTCCAAACAACCATGATTGTCTAATTTTTTATAAAATGGTTTTATGTATTAGTTATTCCTTAGTAAGAAATCCTTACTATTAGCTACAGAGATTAGTTAATTTTTAATGGTAAGTTGTGAATTGCAATAGTTGTAAAATTCATTGTAAAATACCTAATAATTATTATGGTTTTGATAAAAAGAAATGAATCGTATCTTTTCATGTCATCTCTATAATCTATTGCTCAAAATATACAAGAATTACTTTCACTAAAAATTTAAAATAACAAAAATTGTAGACGCTGTAAGACGTCAAAATGTTATCAACACCTACATTTAACTTGCAGAACTACTTATGTACCTACACACTGTTTATACTTTGTAAGGTAGCAACTTATCTTAATTACTTTATATTGTCTTTTTTAAGGTGGATATATTATGTATTGAATAAATACTTGTTCCCACTCGAAACAAATACAGTAATCTATATTTTGGAACCGACAACATAATTATGGTTTTTTTGTTTGAAACAAGCTGCCGGCGTTTTTATGTAAACACTGCTTATTATTAAATTACGTCAGTATAAAAGACATAATTAAATCAGCTTATAACAAAAAAATTTCCCTTTTTCGATCATAAAATAACCAAAAATTTTTTTAAATAAAGACAGATAATTTTAAAAATTAAAAAACTATACATTTTAAAATTATATTTAATAATTTTAATTTGTTTTAAAAGTATTATGTTTATTTATTCTTTACAAAAAAATAATAAAATATAAATATGATTTGCCAAACTATATTTTTTTAAAATATCAATTATTACAGTTGGAGGATAAAAGTTCAACTTATAATAGGTCAGCTTGAATCTAAAATTCTTATATTTTATGCATTGATATTCATATTCATATGATAATATTCATCCATTTTTTTGATAGCTATTTGATCCAATTTATAGATAGTTTAAGGTAATATCGAAAGCAATATTAATGGGTATAATAACGAGACTAATATGCATAATATATAATTTTAAACATTATTATATACTTGTTTAGTATATATACCTTAAAGGGTTAGTTTTTCAAGGTCAGTAATTTTTAATATTAAAAATAATCGATGTTATCTTATAAGCCGCAAGCTCTGAGTATGTAAGTGAAATAGATGTAAAATGTATTTAGTAAGTTCTTATTACATAGTTTTCCACGAACTGTTTTATTCGACAAACAATGATCATAATTTCTACCGATTAACACCGATAATGCCTTAAGCTAGGATTTGCTAAATATTTAACACGCAATCCAGAAAATTTTCTTGACGTGTTTTATAATCTTATACTAAGCCAATATAAAATAAGTAATTTTACACGCAATATAACAGTAAAATAATAGTTTTATTTAATAAACCTGCACGTATACATCGTTTTTAAATGACGTATCAGTAATTATGAAACAAAATCATTTCAATTTAGATTTCGATTATTTTGTAAATTTGCATTTTATGTACCAACTAACCTTCTATACGAAAAATATGCAAATATACATATACGAATATATAGTTTATTACATTTATCTAGTACGTTATTTAAAAATATATAATAATATTATCTCATTCATTTTACGTTGAATGTTATTAAAAAAAAAAAATTTTAAACATCTTAAACGTATACTTTTCTACTGTAAAATTGTATTGTTATACTAAGAAATAAAATTACCTGTAGCTAGTTTCGCTGTATACTCTGGGTTCTCAACGATATAATCAAGTCCTATTCTAGACTCCATGTCTAGATTTTCGTACTCTTCCGAGCAGCCATTCCGGACAATACTTTTGTTATTATCACGTACATTAAGTAATCTACAATAAACAAACACAACACACAATATTCAGTATATACTTAAATATTTAAATTCCATTCACAATATAGTACTGCACGAGTTGTCCTATATAAATACTTGACATTAGTTAAATGTCTAGCAGTATAACGACGCGGTAAACCGTGAACCTATAAGCATGAAGTGAAAGTGACAAATTTAAGCGATTTTGAAGATCATTACTATGACAGAATTGCTAAAGAATAATTTGTTAGAAATGGTATATTTATAAATACGTCCGTAAAATCTAACTAATGTGCCATGTAATCTAGTCACAGTATAATTTTAAAATATTTTTGTTTTTAGTTTGCAATTTCAATGAAATTGTACTATTAAATAATATCACAAAACGAATTCTTTGAAAACGAAGTATGGAACGAAATTGATTATTGTTATATAGATTAATATTCATCATACCTGTTGAACTTAATAAAAATAGTAATATAACAGTGTTATCAAATAAATTCTATTAATCTAATATTGCAATCTAACTTTTTGCTACACAGTGCATACATATAATACTACAGTGACATGTATATGTGATTATGCCATTTCTTCAGTTCAATTCAGGTTTGAAATGTTTTAAATGTATGTTTTTAATAATGATATTATCGGTCAAACTATTTGTGCGTAAAGTCTCTCATTCCTGAGTGGCATTGAACGACACCAAAACACGACTAAGCCTCATGACCAGACATGGTAGTTACTGGAATAATATTATCATCATGCGTGTTGCAACTTCTTTTTTTCATGTCAATCTTCGCCAAGGACGTTACCGTATCCGTCGTTATATGATTGTTTATATATTATTTGGTATGACATATTAAAAAAAAAAAAAAGGTTATCTAAAAGAAGGGTACCGGAAAACAATTTACTTTGAGAGAACTTGTGAACAATATATATAAATATACTTAAAATTAAAGTTTTACAAACTTTAATTTTAAAATAGTTCGAAATCGCAATCAAAATCATTCTGTAGTAACACAGAAGAATAAAAAATACGTAGGTTTGTCGCAAAATTATAGTGTTTTTGTAATACAATTATGCTTGCAGTATTATGTGTAGTTGCGAATTCGAGACAGACTGTAAGAAAAATCTGTATGCGAACGAGTGGGTGTCATCCAACGACCGAAAGGAGTGGCTATATAATTGTGAAGTCATCATTGAAAGCTATAGAAGAACGAGCATTCATTAGAAAAAGTATGGAGAAATAAACAAATAATAAATTATACCGCAGGTCTGAATTGGGTAATATTTTAAGCGGTAAAAATGATACACTGCAGGTAACTCGAAAAATAAAACGTACCCAAATAAAAAGATCACTAATCGACAATTTGTAAAATAATATTTTCACTTACTCAACGGTCATCTTTCTAGTAATATTTATTACTCGTTTAAACTTTGTACTGAGCTATTATTGCTCATTTATTATATTATTGAATATATATATTATTGATACAGAATCATTGTTGTCGAAGAAATCTAGCCAAATGAGCCCTACACACAAAAAAATGGATGGACAGTAAAGTGCTTTGACCGACCACAACACCCACATATTTTCTCATTACACGTGTCTTGTCTTTTAAGTAAAATATTTTGACACCTATATAAATTTAATCCTGCTGCCTTCCTACAGGTTTTTTGATCGTTCGTAACCACAAAATAACATTGAACAAACACACATAATATAATATTTTCCAAAAACAATCTTACGCGCTTTATTGATAGTTGTTGTTTTACAGTAGGTATATAACAATATTTTTGGGGTGTGATCTAATGTGCTACCTACAATGTATGCTAATATTAATTTAACAACAGCAGTCATAAAAAGTACCATCGTCATGTTAAAATATATAGTTACCTATAATACTACACCGCAATGTTTTTAACCACTTTCTTTCAAGGATATGGGTTTGGGTGTATTTATACTGGTAAGACTTTTAAATTGTGATCAATGAGCTTAGTAGGTAAATTATGTTCACCTTTTACCATATTTTTCACCATTACTTCATGAACTACAAGGCTTGAAGCATTTACCCTACTTAAACCAGAGCTATACGAGTACATATGATTGTGATATTGGTATACCCAATTGTAAACATTATGCGACCGAATCGGGAGAGAAATCTTGAGACAATAGACAATGAATCAATTTTCAAGTAGTTTAGTTGCGCTGAAACCAAACACAATATTGATCTCGAGATCATAGTGTATAATATTTATTATTGTGTGAATTGCGTACGTGACACAATAAGTGGCCAGCGATTTAAACGAGGGTAAATAAAGTAGATGCATAAAGTCGGTGGACTAAGGTTCAATGGACACCTAATTATTATTAGATTTTTTTCCATTTTACATTAGACTTCACTATACCGGCTCAGGAAATTGAACTCTTCTCGGTTTATTAGCCACATAACTGTTTCTGATATATTGTTAAAATAAAAATTACTATATTAATATTCTTGATACGCAATGTAGAAGTGACAAATTGGCCATTGTTTTCGACCGTTCACGTCAACGGAACAGGAAGTTTATGACGTCCATAAGATGAGAAACAATAAAAATAAAGTAAAAATAATATTAAAAAATGCAACGCCCAACCCACTTACAGAACTTAAAAACGGTTTCCACCCCAAAATTTAAAAGCTATTATTATAACAATAATCAATATTTTATTAAAATAATTACTTATTTTCTTATTAAAATTATTCATATGATTATAATATCAGGGATGGAAAACGTTATTAAACGAAAAAAAATGAAAAACGAAAACGAAAATAAATTATAGTATTATACTATTATTATTTATTACGAAAAAAAAAATATCTGTTATCAAAAAGTTAATAATTCTAATAACTAATAGGTAATTGTTGACAAATAAAATATATTAATAGCATAGCGCAATAGTTAATTAAAGTCCACATGGCACATATACATTGCAGTGGTGACTGTAAAATTCTATTATATTTTACGACGCGGTCATGGATCATAATGTAATCTATAACATGGTTGCTGCTTCAATTATAATAATATTATTATATTATTATCTATTGATTTTAGCAGTTGATTAGGAATTAATTCTGTTTTATAATTTATTATACCTACTCATTATCCTATTGGCTATTATGGTTAATTGTAACAATAACATGACTTTATAGAAATCTGAATTAGTGTTATACCTTACGTCTTTACTTACTTTTTACCAATGCACTTTTTAAAACCGTTTTAATTTAAAAATTTGAATTTTATTATTTTCATATAAAATATAAATTATAATTTTGGTTTGAAATTTAAATTTTAAATATTAAGAATAATTAATTATAACTTAAGTGCATTCCTAAATGTAGTATATTGATTATTCATTGTAACTATTATAAGTAAGGTATAAAAAATAAGATTATATAAAAAAAAATATCAAAAACGTTATTTGAAAACATTAAAGAAAAATAACGTTTTGAAAAAACGTTATTTATAAACACTATTTAAAAATAAAATTTTTAAAAACGTTAAACAAAAACGAAAACGAAAAAATCAAAAACGTTTTCCATCCCTATAAAATACAGTACTGTAAAAACGTAACTGATAATATTGCATTGTTAAATTACAGTAGTCATAAAGAAAATATATTTACTGTATTAACATATTGTTCAAAATGTACCACTATAAATTTATAAAATTGATTAGATAATCGATTATATTAATCTTCAGTATTAAATTCAGAATATATAAAACAATCATTGCAACTTGAAAGTGTATTAAGTATTTTTTCAAAAATAATAATAAAATATTATATTATTATAAATATTATAAATATATAATATATATAAATTTATTAATATATAAATTTATTTATATATAATATATATAAATAATATTATAAATATTATTGATTATTCAAATCTTGGAAAATTTCTAATTATAATATAATAAAAAAAATTACATAATTTACATTAAACAAAAACAAATGAGTTTACTCTATGTAATACGCGTATATATGTCGTTTATTCAGTACTTCTGCCCATAATATTAATTAAGTCATTTATATTCCTTGATTTCTATCATGAAAGACAACTCAGTTCTCAATGCGCTAGCACGTACTTCTGGGTACCTTTTCAACAAATCCTATTGAAATCAAACACCAGATGTACGTAATGTGTGCGTTGACAGTAATGTATACGTGTTGAATTATTTTACGAGTTGTAGATACTAAAAAATAATAACACCCAATAATAATAATTTATATTTACTTTTATGATGTTTTAAATGGGTTTTAAAAAACAATAGTCAACTTATATTGGTTATAATAACATTATAATGTAATATAACATGCTATTATTACATATATTTATAGAAGACTGGCATTTCTCATAAAATCGACACTCCAAAAACAAGATCTTCATAAACATCGCTCCACACAACGGTTTATTAATTTCAAGTGGTGGGGCATTTTTAGATTCTGTATTATCTTAAATTTGAATGACTATAATATGATATTCTCGCTAAATATTCTGTTTGTTTGTTTATATATTTAAATAACTTTATTGATGAAATTATTTTTTATATATTTATACATTATGTGTGAATAAACAGCATAATAAATTTATTGAATTATAAATTTGTTAAGCACTCTTTTTAAATATTTTGAAGGATTAAGTGTAAAAGATTTTTTGTTCACGGAAACTTAATTTTGATTTTCAATTAATTTTTTATGATGTCGAGTTACTCTAATGTTTATTACTATAAGCTATTTATATCGTTATTAAAAAAAAAATTAACTTCTATTTATATAAGTAATAATTTAATTAGGACCTTTTTTAATTCCATGACTAAATACTAAGAACTATATCATACTTAAACCCATATGATCAATGTAAAATTATTATTTTATGAATAAAAATGATCGATTAATA